AACAACATGGTGTTTTATTTACTCTGTGCCCCCCTTTCTTTCTTTTAAATGTATTGGAAAATATGTCCTATTTTTTTCAATTGTAAAGAACAATAGGTGCAAATAATAGGCTTTTATTAAATATGGTGGATACTGGGAGTATGACTTGATATAATTGAAGACAACATCCCCCATTATACCCTTTGGGATGGCCTAATTCATGATGCATGTTTTCCGCAGCAGCAGCAGCAGTGGAATCAATAGCACTCATGCTTCAATAAGGGCTCTAATGAAGGATGCATTTGTGAAGGATAAAATGTTTTCTGAAATGGTTCTCACAGTTGCCGAGTGGAATGATGTTTTGCTTGTGGTAAATTACATGTTTCCCAGGAAATTAATCTGCTCAGTTAATATGTGTGGTTTAAACATGCCACATTCAAATATTGCAGCTATCTCATTAATCACTTGTATTTCATTAAAACACACAACAAACAAACACAGAGGTTCCATTTGGCCAAACATCATAGCTATGTGCTGGTATACTGCGGCTCCACCGTGTAGGTGTACTGTGGATCTGGTTGGTTTTATATTTGTTGAGATCAAATTGTGCCTACCAGAAAAATATGTTGTGTTTACCTTTTGTCTGGAATGACAGGAAGCAATGTGTCTACTCTTATGTGGATTCAGTCTACTCCACTTTGAAGGAAGGAACAAAAGACAAACCGAGAGAGAGATCTATTGCAGGAAGAGGATTCTCCCTATCCAGTGTTTCCGCCAGACCAGGGCTGAGAGGGCGTCCACCCCGAGAGTAGGGGAGGGTGACGTCACGTCGTGTCACGTGACTTGAATTTTGAATTGAGCTGTCCCTTTATAGATACTATCTCTTTACGTATTAGTGATGGGAATTCCAGCTCTTTTTAGTGAGCCGGATCATTTGGCTCGGCTCACTAAGAAGAGCCGGCTCCCAAACGGCTCTTCATGTTACCACAGTTTACCACGGAGCCTCAGTTTCGCCGCTGCAAGGCTCCGGCGCTCGCAGTTCACGCGCGTTCTCCACTAGCACCCCCCGTCAAGGCTCGCTGGCAGTACACTTTCCGTCACAGGAACACGCCCCCCTGGCGGAAACGCTGTCCCTATCCCTTTTTATTTCTTCTACATCTTCCCATCCTTTAGGAACAGTCTGCAACCTCAGGGCTTTACTGCTTTCCTTTCCCTTCTCTTCCATCACAACTGACCACAAAATGCCTGACCATTCACTCTTGTCTTACTCCATGGAAATCTGATTACCTCCCCCTCCTCTGCTGTTGGGTGGCACAGTTAGGCCACTTAATATCAATATTCTCTTTGTGGTGGGAGATGGGGTGCAATTGCCCTGACCGTAAGAATAATTGCACACGGATATCTGCACACATGCATTGACTTGTGCACGCACACAAGCTTTACACACTCACACACCAGAAAACATGATAACTAGGACATGCCGAGAATTCAAGAACAGTGACACACACACATGCACAAGCGTGTAACACCACACGCGCATGAGAAATGGGCAGAATGGGGACACACAAAGTGGGACTCACACATATCCGCTGTAGTATGAGGAGACGTAAAGAAAGGCTTCATTCTGCTGTGCAGTGGGACACACTCATGCAGAAAGCAACTAGCACTCAGTTAAGTGTAGCCTCAGGCTCAGAGCAGAAGTATGAGTGAGAGAGGCGGACAGTTCCTCACAGTGATGATGCCCATATTTGTTTTGGAGAGGACAATTGAAGACCTTGACTTCCTAATTGATGTTAAAAACTCTTTGCATCGGACACATAACATATTTCATAATGGAGTGGTCCTTTTTTTTGTACGTATGCTCAAAACGATCAAGTATAAGAGTCTTGCACACTTATGGCGCGTTTCCACTACACGGCCTCGCTCGGCCCCGCTCGGTATGGCTGGGCCTCGTTAGGACTGCTCACTTTATGGCGCATTTCCATTACAGTTTAGGAACTGGGGTAGTATCTATAGTAACGCAGTGTAGGCGGAGCCGTGACGTGATCTTCAGAGGACCCCAGAAAAACAACACAGCCGTTAGCTGTTAGCACTCAGAGCTCACAGCTCCTCATATATATATGTGTGTCTCAGTATACTGTATCTATATCAGATACAGTATACTGAGACACACATGAAGAATAAGAGTTTTAGGAAGCAGCACCACTCTCCCACTATTATTTACTGTAATTTAAGACTGTGCATGTGAGTCAGTGCACTAATATCCTGCATCTGATTGTTTGTATGGAACATTCCTGTTACTTGTTGTGTATGTGTAAGAAAATATGTACATTTCCCCTCTGTGGGATGAATAAACGTATTCTGATTCTGAAAAATATAATATCCTGGTTACAAAAACCAGGTATGCTTCCTAGAACACTCGGATAGATACTGTACATACTTTGGCATGTCATTGCGGGGGAAACTTCTGAAGCAATTGGAAACAGGACTCAGAGAGACACGAGGAGAGCTGGAGCTTTGATGGCAAACACTGACGGTTTATTTGGAGTTACGGCCGGAGAATTCACAAGACAGGTGGTGTGTCACGAGTTGACACAGCGGTTGCCAAACCAATTCTGAAGAGCTCTTTCTGTAGCTCAAGGTTTTAACTAGTTCGGAGTGTAATAATCAACATTCTTTATCAGCGAGACTAAACAAAGATGGACCCTGAATCTATCTAGAGCTCTCGTCCATAGGAAAGAATGTGCGCCAGGGAGCCTACGTCCCTGAACAGTAAACTACCTCATGGCGGCTTGTGCTCTGTCATAGACTGGCAACAACAATGCGCCCAAGCTGCCCCTCCTTAAGAGAGATAGCAGCAATACCCAAGGCCGTAGACCTATGCCATGGGAAAGGAGACAGTGAGAGGAGAACATTATGAACTGTGTCGAAGGTTGAATACCTAAGCAAATGATTCCCTAACAGTAATGATGTTATCCAGGTTTCTGAATATTCTTTGTTGACTGAGGGGCATGAGATGAGACCCAGACAGAAGCCTGGACACTGATATAACAATGTTTGAAGCCATATGAATAAACTGGTTTCCATTTAAACACCATATCGCAAAATAGGTCAAAACCAGGATAATTCTCAAAACATAATCCCAATGAGCATGCTCAGTCAACAGTAAGTATTTAACAGAGAAACACAATTATGTATTTATGTATGAATGTACTGAATGTGTAATATAACATTGTAGTTCAAATGACGGACCTGGATGAGGTTTAGATGACAAAACTAATGTCATGTGCTTCCCGCCCCTACATAGTAAGGCTTCCGTGTTCACACAGTAGGAGAAACACATGAGTAATAAATGCATCAATTATTGAATAGAGCAGAGCGTGTGTGTTCATGCCTTCATGTGTTTCTGTGCAGAACTCAAAACTATGTCACACAGCTCATGCACCGCTGCACCCATTTACTGGTGGACCATCTCTCCAATGCGCAGATCTAGAACACAGCGATTGAAAACGATCAAAACACACTCAAGAATGCCAGGCTCTACACAGAAACATGCTTAAAACACACACACATTCACTGAAGCATGGGTATTTGCACAAATGCACTCATACAGTAGCTTTTGTGGCAAGCAATCAATGTAAGTGCAGTGTTTTGTGTCCTATGTACACATATTGTATATACACACACACAGAAACACACATTGCTCATTGTTCCAGATCCATTCATTGCTCACGGTCATGGTTCTGCTCTGATTTCTCTTGTAAAAGCTGCATTGATAAACTCCGCTTCAGTGCAGCTCCATGATGTGAACTGTTAAATAGCTGAATAGATGCAGGTCACTTTGCACACATTACCCCAACAGTGCAGGGTGCATAATGTCGCTGTCAGTCTCTGATTTATGAGCACATCAGGAAGATATGCTGAATATATTGGGTTTGTACGAAAGCTCAAAAGATCAAATGTTTGTTTGATATGTGAATCTGAGCAGTTCAGTAAGACTTAATGGAATAAATGTCCCTTTAAATAAGTTCAAAGCAGTTCGCATCTACAAATTCTGTCTCTCGGTAATTGGTGTCCTCATTTAAACATAGTAGTTCTCTTTTCATATGAAGCTCAAAAACAACAACAAGGTTGCGACTTGAGGGAAAGAGAGCTACTCACACGGTTTTAAATCTGTGAACACATTCACAAATGGCGGTACATTTTTTGAAAGCGCTGTACTGTGCATTTTCAATTTAAAGTCCTAATTTCATTTCTATGGAACGGCAGTTTTTTGGTCTCAAATTGATGAATAATTCACCTCTCTGCATGAACAGAAGTAGCAACCAGCTAAGGTTCTGTTTAACCTTCATCAACAGAACATAGGTGTTACAATACTAGCCTCACTTTGGCAATAGATCCATTGCCTTTGTGTTTTTATGTACGCTCACACTGAATCCAGCAGTATGTCAGCAGTAGTTGTAAAGGGGAAACCCTAATTGTTCTTTTTGTCCTCCTCACAATTTGTCAATTATTCTGGTGGATTTGAGTCGTCAGCCTGAAGGTCAGCGAGCCACCACAGAGACCAGGATCTATAATCTGCTGTTTGTTTGTTCAGTGTATTGACTGTGGCTCAACCTTCGCAGGTCTGTCTTTGCTGTCCCCTACTTCAAAGGGATGTTTGCTAATATGATTGCTGGCTGCTATACATATTTCATGAGCCTCTTAATATTGATGGTATACTGAGTAGTATAAGTTGCAGCAGTGGAGTTAGAACACATTTACCCGCCTTCTGGCACTCCCTCCATCCTCTTTGATGGCTATTTCAGGTTACATATGAGCCTTCTCATATTTGCCACTGATAGCGCTTTAACCTTCATTCCCCCACGCAGGACAGATTTAATAACAACCCTGTCAGGCTGATTCCTGCTGATGTTGGCATAAAACATTGGATTGACAGAGAGAAATTGTGTGATGATTTTGTGCACACACTCAGCAGGTACACTTAAATAAAAACGAAATGTCTCTTGTCTCTTCCACAGCCGTTCCATCCCATGGTGAACCTGGTGTGTAGTGCTGACCTGCGGATGTTCCTGTGCGCGCTGTACGCTCCGGTGTGCACCGTGTACGGCCAGGTGTCCATGCCATGTCGATCCCTCTGCCAGCGCGCCAAGGATGAGTGCCACAAACTCATGGAGGTATTCGGAGTGGCCTGGCCAGATGACATGGAGTGCAACAGGTGTGTATTACATTTTAAAATAACTCACGACATGAAAACATAAACAGTGTCATCACAAACAAGGTGTTGAAGCATCTGAATTAATGGTTGCAGTGGTATACCAGTTTAAAGGTATACCATTGTATGAAAATGTAAGGTGATCATACCATGTACATGTGCTTATCTACAGAATACAAGTGAGTGTGTGAGTTAAAGGTGCATGAAGGAGCTGGCTGGCTGTGCTGTCACACACCTACAATGTATGGACATTGTTAATGAAAGGGCAGCATTTTAAAGTCCACAAATGGTTATTATTTTTATTTACTAGTTAATTGAACATGCTTAAGGGCTGATGACATGTAAACCTGTATGTTTTAGCTGTTTACCATGTTACAGTTACCTGTTATTATTTATTAAAAATCTGTTCCCATTCCTTTTAATGGTAATTTTAGATGAAGATAACATTACTACATTTTCTGAGAATGTGTATGTGCCATAAAAATAAATGTACAACCCTGTTGATAATACAGCTTGTAATATTATTCTGTTTGTTGTATTTTAAATATGTATTTGGACAGGACTGCACAGGTCATTTTTCACACTGGATAAGGTAGTTTCTTCTACTGTGGATTTGTATTTAGTTACACTGAGAGGTTTTATAGTCTCATCATTTGACCAAATTGTTATTCTCCAGGTTCCCAGCTTGTGACGAGCCCTATCCCCGTGTAGAGGACCTGCAGACAGACTCTGACCCCACAGACGAGTCGTCCCTGACGGTGTCCAGAGAGTACGGCTTCTGGTGCCCGCGGGAGCTCAAGATGGAACCGGACCTCGGTTACACCTTCATGGGCAAGAAGGACTGCTCTGGCCCGTGCCCCTCGATGTTCTTCAACCAGAAGGAGCTGAACTTCATGCGCTACTTCATAGGAGTCGTGTCTGTTGTCTGTCTCGCCGCAACGCTCTTCACCTTCCTGACGTTCCTCATCGATGTTACCAGGTGTGAATGGCTGATTATTGTATGATGTCCCTTCCAACATTTGAGAAGACCCAACTGAAATATCACTTAAAGTAAATAGAGAGAAACATTTGTTTACTTTTTTTCTATTCTTCTTTTCTTCCTTTTTTTTTACCTCATTAGGTTTCGGTACCCTGAGCGGCCAATCATCTTCTACGCTGTGTGTTATGTCATGGTGTCCCTGGTTTTCTTTCTGGGCTTCCTGTTGGAGGACAGAGTATCGTGCAACGCAGCCAGCCCGTCCCAGTTCAAAGCTTCAACCATTACCCAGGGCTCGCACAACAAGGTGGGAGTTTACTTCATTTCCTTCCAGTATCACAACAATAACATCACACATCTCATGGTATTGTTGTTGCCTCCACAGCAAAAAGCCTGTTGGGTGGCTGAAGTATTGATCATTTATTTACATTTTAAGCCATCCGCAATGTTGAATAAAACCAATTCGAATTTTTTTTTTATCATGTGGCAGCTCAAAATGTATGTCTCATAAACCCCAGTAACATGCCTTTTAGACATTACATTCTTTAGCTAATGATTTGCTGTCTCTCCCACATTATTGATCAAAGGTTATATCTCCATGTCTCAGGTATGCACCCTGTTCTTCATGGTCCTATATTTCTTCACCATGGCGGGCAGCGTGTGGTGGGTCATACTGACCATCACTTGGTTCCTGGCTGCTGTGCCTAAATGGGGCAGCGAGGCCATTGAGAAGAAAGCCCTCATCTTCCATGCTGTGGCCTGGGGCCTCCCAGGGGCCCTGACTGTCACCCTGCTGGCCCTGAACAAAATTGAAGGAGATGGAATCAGTGGAGTGTGTTTCATAGGGCTGTACGACATGGACGCCCTGAGGTGGTTTGTTCTGGCTCCGCTCTGCCTCAACGTGGCGGTGAGTACAGTCAGAAGATAGATGAGTGGGTGGGTGGATGAAAGAGCTGATGAGGAGGTTGGATGGATGGGTTAACAGATGAGTGGGTGGGTGGATCAAATGAAACAAGAGTGTATTGTTGGCTGGAGTTATGAAGAGACGGAGAGATTAGTTAATGGCCGTTTAGATGGTTGACAGTCTCTTAGCTTGTCAGTCATCCATGCGTTTAAACAAATAATGAATTGTAATCTTTCTGAGTCTAACTTCTCATCCATCTTTCTGTCTTCAGGTGGGAGTCTCTCTCCTGTTGGTGGGCATTGTGGCTCTGAACCGGGTGCGTATGGAGATCCCTCTGGAGAAGGAGAACCAGACCAAACTGGTCAAGTTCATGATCCGAATGGGAGTGTTCTCTGTGCTCTACCTGGTCCCCTTGTTGACTGTGATTGGCTGCTACCTGTACGAACACACCTACCGGAGCACTTGGGAGAAAACATGGATGGAGGAAAACTGCAAGAGCTATCACATCCCCTGCCCATACAAGGTAGAGAGAGAGAGAGAGAGAGAGAGAGAGGGAGGGGAGAGAGTGTTTGTGTGGTGATGCTTCTCATTCTGCGTCTCTTTATCTCACACACAATCACACATATGTAATTGAAATTAACAAATGTATGGTTCTCCAGTTAAATAAGCTATGGATACACAGACACATATACAAGAATGGACCAATTACCTTTTTTTAAAGGGTAATCTTTTGTGTATGTAATTGAATTTAAGTAAAGTCTGAGATCTGGAAACAAACAAAAAGCACTTTATTGGGTTCTAAAACTGGAAAACACAGCAAATCTAGATCACATTCAAACCGGCAGTGGTTCTGTACGTGTGACCAAGCTGTTTTAACCTCTGACTTGTTTATGTTCTTTTCCCGTCAGGACTATTACTATAATGTCCCTAAGCCATCACAGTGTGTGTGTGTTTGTGTGTTTGTGTGTGGGTTTGAGTGTGTGTTTGAGTGAGTTGGTGAGAGATAGCTGGCAGTGTAACATGTGTGTCTCTGAGTAGGTATTTGAGGAGGGAGCAGAGCGCAGTATGCATCATTAGCTCGGCTAATACAGCTCTCAGGACAGATTCCACACAAAACGACCATCTCTGTTTCTCTGTCTCTTTGTCTCTCACTCCTTCTGGTGGTTCTCACACACTTACCCCTTTCTCTGAGCCTGTCTCCCCCTCCACTCTCTCTGTCTCGCTCTCTGTGTCTGTGTGTCTCTCTCAGGGCCTGCTCAGTCATGCTCTGCTGCCTGTACTCTATAACGTCTTTGTAGCAATTGTAAAGAGTAGTGGGAGTGTGGTCTTTTATGCAGTCTGGTGCTATATTAATAACTGAATAAATGTGCACAATGCAGACCCATACACACTCCCCTGCAGAACATGAAGGCAATATCCTACAGAATGGCACACATTAATCTTAAGATATCAAAACTAACTTTGTTTATGTTTCTATCATTCTGCTGAGTGCTGTAACAGTGGTTTCATAATAGAGAAGTGTCAGCTAATTTGTGACTGACAGAATTTATGAGAGGGGGTGGAGGCAGGTGCAAGTGCTTATGTTACTTGTTAGTGTATGTGTCCAGAGCTCTGTGTGTGTGAGCGCTCACGAATACGCCCTATTGTGGTTCAGGAATTTCAATATTGCTATGCGTTATTTGAGCTTTACCCTGGGGGGATTTGCATGCAAATGTGTGTATGTGTAAAGGGTAAAATTGCATGCTTCTGGATAATTGAAGATTTTGGGGTCATTGTTCAAGTTCAAGTGACTTCATTTTTGTCTGTGTGTGTCATTTAAACCCGAGACATTTAATCTGAGACGGGCGAGACAGACTGAAGCTAATTATTACAGACCAATTCTTCTGGCCCCTGGTTCTGTCAAAAGCAAAACACTGCTATTCTTTGTCAAAAGTCCTCCTTCGCGAAGAGTTATTTTAGGAGATGTTTTGAGTGTAAAAAAATGTTTTGTAGACTTAAGTTGTTGTTTTTTAAAGTACTGCAGCATGTCTGCAACTCCCTTATATATATACTTATATATCTCTATCATAAATGTTTAGTTATCATGTTACTGTTATTTATGTGCTTTATGTTAACCAGAGCCAAAAAGAGAGGTAAGTTCTTACCTCTCAGTCTACACAGCTGCTGCTCTCCTGCCCTCTGGTGGGCGATAGAGGGTCCTGCAGTTCAGCTGCTGAACAGCTGAGTTATTCTAGGATTACCTCCCCTCTTCCATCATTCATGACCAGGCTTAAAACACTGCTGAATACTTTCTGTTAATGTGCAAGTATTCTCAGTGGCATCCTAAGCATTTCATTTATCTTTACTATATTATAGGAAAATTGTCCTTCACATCAAAACTAAAATGCAATAATAAAATATTTCCTCTTCCTCTTTCCATGTCAGGCTGTATTTATAACACCCTCGATCCTCTTTATTGCATAAATGTGGCGTTAATATTTCATATTTCTGCTCTATTCAGGTGGAGAAAGCCAATCGGCCAGCCATGGTTTTGTTCCTGATTAAATATCTGATGATGTTGGTCGTTGGGATCCCCTCTGCTTTCTGGGTGGGAAGCAAGAAAACCTGTTTTGAATGGGCCAACTTTCTGCACGGACGCCGGCGCAAAGAGTAAGAAGAGAGATCCTATGATTTTCTTTTGTTGCTTTGTTGTATACGTCTGTATGAATTCAATCCTATTCTTATAAGGGTAGTTTATTTCTAAGGATACAAAGAGTACGTGCTGAATATGCTATCGGATACAAAAAAAAGTTCTTCCATTTTATTGTCTTTGTTTCTTTGATAACCAGCAGTTGTAACAACCAGTAGTAATTGAATATGTGCCAACCCTCTCACATGCCCCCCATTTTATATATTTGTAAACCTCTCCCTCTCCTCTCTCTCCTCTCTCTGCAGCAGTGGGGTGAACGAGTCCCGTCAGGTTCTGCAGGAGCAGCCAGACTTTGCCCAGTCTCTGCTGCGAGAACCACACCCCCCCGTCGTGAGGAAGTCCAGAGGGACCTCCACTCAGGTAGGACTGTCCGGACCCTATCATCTGCCTCACACAGCTTCAACACTGTATATCTTTACGAAAAAGCATTTCAAATGTGTGCTCCGTTTATAGAAAAAACTGCTACATATCATATCAAGCGCTTCCTAAACTCACAGTCCGACACCCGCCAGCGTTAGAGATGGCGAGTCGTTCCCGCAGCTTGGAAAATAATAAGTCATAGTATAGTATGTCAAAAGAATCATGATAGAAGGTCATACTATATGTAAAAGAAGAAGACATACTTTATTAATCCCTCACAGGGAAATGTCTTTCTGCACTCTGTGGTGTTTACACACATTACACACACAGGGGGATATACATAGTATAGTGTTGGTAGTAGTACAGTTCATAACTTGCATTGGAACTAGTTATAGTATTTTCATCTAAAAGATGGAATGAGGAAAAGCAGAATGTTAAAAACAGTATGTTGCCTAACTTTAAATTATTTAACAGAACATACACTCAGTTTAATGCCCGTAGTTTATACATCTATCTGACCTTCCCTCCTCCTGCAGGGCACATCCACCCACGCCTCCTCCACCCACTTGGCTGTCCTAGATGACCTTGACGAACCAATCAGAACTCACCACGGCCCCCCCACCTCCACCAGGAGTAAAGCCAGCAGCGCCCACAGCAAGACCAGTTACCATGGCAGCCTGCGCCGCACTCGTGACGACAGGTAGAGCAGGAAGTCCATGAGCATCTGTCCGTCAGAAGTTGTGATTCAGATGACACTAAGTGTCTCTCTCTCTCTCTCTCTCTCTCTCTCGCTCTCTCGCTCTCTCTCTCTCTCGCTCTCTCGCTCTCTCTCGCTCTCTCTCTCTCTCTCGCTCTCTCGCTCTCTCGCTCTCTCGCTCTCTCTCTCTCTCTCTCAGGAGTGATTCTGTGGTTTACCGAGGCACAGAGGCACGCAGTTTCCATGGCAGCATGCCGCGTCTGGACCACCCGCTCTCCGCTCATGGCAGCGTGCATCAGATAGACGGCCACTCGAAGCACGGCAGCCAGCGAGACGTCTCTGAGGCCGCAGCGACCCTCATCACACACGGGACAACAGGAAGTGACAGCCAGGCTGCTCCGAACGACGCCACCAGCGCCTGAGAGGATTATTGAGGAGGCTGTGGACGCCTTTGAAGATTTACCCCCCGCTGAGACACACCCGTCTGTGTTAAGTGTTTCCTCTCTGAAGGTGGAGAGGGTTCCAGTGATATTTTGGGTGTTCCTCGCTGATCAGCAGTGTGGCCACAGCAGTTCAGTCAGTACTCGACTGATCATGAGTCAGTTTCACTGTAAAGCTGAAGTTTGTTTACATAATTATTTAAATTGACAGCGGATGACTCCTGAATGCCTAACTCAGACTAACAACAATACGTCCATCTCTCCAGACGTCCGCTGACATGCTGACTTTATTCAGGGATCATTTGGTTGCCCAGGTAAACCAGAGCTGGCACTAGATAGGAAACAATGGAAGAGAGAAAGATGGATGACCAGCCTTTTGAAGTCGTCACCATCTTGCTGGACCTATGTGAATAGCTTTTGTAACAATCTTAAATGGTTTGCCTATTTTTGACTTATTTGGGTCTCAGTCTTGACCAAGACTCAATTATTCCCGATCCTTGTTTGCTCTGGAGCGCTTAGTGAACGATGTTTCTCAGTGTGTGGCTTCAGAGTCCTATAAATGTGGGCTTAATGTGAAATCGTGGACCTTTCTGTGGTTTAGTGAATATTTTTATACTGTGAATTGTCTGTCTGCTGCTGAAAGCTTCGTTTAGTGAATTTGTATGTTTGTGTGTGAGAGTGAGTGAGTGAGAAAAAGTGGTCTTGATGTTTTAAACTTAAATCCTCCCTACAATGGTAACAATAAAAGCACAAGGGAGGGGGCTGAAAACCGTGCTATCCAGAATGTAAAAAGGTTGTTTCAGAGTCAGAAAGATGGAGATATAACACAGACATGGTCGGGTGAAATGAGCTGGAATTATATTTGGTCCAGCTCATGTGTACTTTTCTACAGACAGTTAAAAAAGGCAGCTTAAAAAAATTAATAATCAGTCGATTAAGCGATTGGTCAGTTTTCAGTAAGCTCATTTATGTCATAGAATCCAAACCCTAGACAGATTCAGAGTACTGATGAAAGTAAACCAATATGTAGAGTAATGGGACTCAAATTCAAGAACACATCCATCTCACCATTCAAGCCTCATTGCTGCAGAAACTGGAGAGAAAAGAGAAGGAAAACTGAACAAAACTAACAGTGCTTTGATTCTTAATTCTGTCACACTTATGGCTGAAAGGTTGTTCACTGGTGCTCTGCAAAGTGATTCTTCTGATATCATTTCACTACTTGATATACAGCTTAACTCTGTACTGTGCTCTTGGCTTCTGTTTGTTTGTTTTGCTGTTCAGACATAGAACTCAAAACTCAAAGAGGTGCAGACATGTTTCAAAAAAGAAATGTTCTTTAATTTCGGGTTGCAACATTTTCTCTGACATTATTTTACGTTTAAGTAAATGTAACAGGAAGTGTACTGACTATTGTAAGTATTTTTCTACGGTTTGTGTTCCCCATCCCTCATCCCTAAAGACCCAATTAACCTACCTCACCTGTATCCCCTGCCTTCTCTGTACACACACACACACACACACACACACACACACACACACACACACACACACACACACACACACACACACACACACACACACACACACACACACACACACACACACATTTCTGTAAAGGAAATAGTCAAAATGTCAACACAAAAAACCAGTTCAGAATAAATCGTTTTGCATATTTCTGAACAACCTTAACTTCAGTAAAATGTCATTTTACAATTGACTCGTGGGTTCTGCCTTCTCACACACACACATTCTCTACACACACATTCTCTACACACATCCTTCAGTAGGATACCCGTCTGTCCTCCCCACAGTTGGCGTTGTGTTTCTCCAGTCTACCTCCTCCGTTCAAACAGGCTTGGATCATTTTCCGGACCTTTACTGCTGCCTCTCTCCTCCCGTCTGTAAATGTCGACATCTTTATATGTTCTAATGACCAACCTCCTGCCTGTCTCTGTTGTACATAGACTCTCCGTCATCTGATGACTAACCTGCCTCACATCTGCCTTCTGCCTCTCCTCTTGTAAATGTGCCCACGCTCATCTTTATTTGGACCTACAGCAACAGTCTGTCCTGTTGCGATTTGTGACTGCTTAACACCATTTACTTTAACCTCTGAATTGGACGTTAGAACAAGTGAATCTGTGTAAAACACTTCATCTTAATTCAGCTAATAATTCATAATAACCTCCCGTAATGAGACATAAGGAGGAAGAGCTTTCCTTGCTTCTTGTTATGCTTTGATACAGCTTCAGAGTGAACAGCAGTCTCTTGAAAAAATGACTTGTTATCAAAGACGGTTGAAAGAAATATAATAATATTGTGAATTCTGAAACTTGAGTTGTATTTGCCTTTTAATTTATTTGCAGTTTGGACTGTACTGACCTATTTGAAATGCAGTCTAATAAACTTTTTATAGACTTAAATGCTTTTGTTATTATTTTAACACTGAACTCACTTGTCGATTGATTCCTGCCGACTAATCTTGAATGCCTTCACTTTAATAGAGACTGCTGCTCCTTCAGTAAAAAATCAAATGTGACCCATCTTACACACATAATATAACATGCTTGGTAACACTGTTGCAGGTGTATCATTACATTTAACTTACTTTAAGTGCATGCCTTTTGTAACCATAGTTCTTAAGCTGGTTTTACTAATAGCATAATGTTGTGGTTTTAGATTGAGCTCTTTAAAGCGACCCTACACACATTTGAAAACTACAGTGTTGTAAAATAAAGAAAGTCCAGATGCATTCACCTTCTTAACACTTTGTTAAAATCTGTAAACGGTTCATCAGTCAAGACCAGATACCCGAGCGTTCTCGTTTCCGGCGGACGATGGCGGCTACATCCTGTTTGAGAGTAGAGACGCTCTGCTCCAGCTGCTCGGAGAAATCCCGCAGCAGACGACTCTGCTCGTCCACAAACAGCCTGAAGCCCAGCAGGTCGGAGTCCTCCTGGAGACCAGCAACACACAACCTCAGGAACACACAACCTCAGGAACACACAACCACAGGAACACACAGGAACACACCACCTCAGGAACACACCACCTCAGGAACACACAACATCAGGAACACACAGGAACACACCACCTCAGGAACACACCACCTCAGGAACACACAACATCAGGAACACACAGGAACACACCACCTCAGGAACACACAACCTCAGGAACAAGGTTGATATGAAACCATACCCAGATACCGTATACTCTAGTCTAGGGCTTAACATGAGCAACTAGTATTAGTTACTTTTACAGATAGCTAACTTAAAATAGATTTATAAAAACAAGAGTTGTCTCAGTGCAGACCTGATTGTAAATACCATGATTAAAACATGCCTTTCCTGCCTGGTAACAGAGGTTTATTGTACTACTGGTTTTTCTGCAAAAAAAAAACTTTAAATAATAAAATGTTATCAATTAACTCAGGACATTTGTCTTTTTTTTCTTGGACTGTTTTATCACATTCCAAACATACCATGATCAAGGTATTATCACCAGTGTAATCTTACTAAAACTTTTCCTATGCCAGTTAATTTGTGTGCCCGATTGTGTATTGTTCTCTATAGATTGGTATTAAACAAAGGTTTAAGCTTTATTGTAGTAAAGCTCACGAATGCTGAGGCAGCAGACAGTTGGATACGTACACTGGGCCTGTGTCTGCGCAGCCGCTGCAGCTGACCCCTGACTGAGGTCATGCTGTGGTAGAAAACCTTGAGAGAGCGAGCAAACTCTGCATCACAGCTGGGACGCACCGAGCGCCCCCGCACCCCCTCTCCACCTGACACAGGGAGAGGAAGCTGTCTTAGAGTCTGATTTCTACATGTTATAAACAGGAATCTTTTGCCATGTAACAACTGTAAACCAGTTTTTTTAATAACACTAAAACAGACGTTAGACATTTAAATTAGGCTGGTTGTGATGTGTGTGTGTCAGTTACCATTCCTGGCAGCGTTGAGTTGTTCTCTCAGAATATGATTTTCTTTTCTCAGTGACGAGTTAACACTCTTCAGTTCCTCCATATCCTGCTGAAGAGCTCTCACTGAACAGCTGATCTCTGCAGAGGCTACAGGCTGCCACACACACACACACACACACACACACACACACACACACACACACACACACACACACACACACACACACACACACACACACACACACACACACACACACACACACACACACACACACACACACAGATTATGTGAGCACAGTGATTTGAATGTGTGCTTCATCACCTCATGCCTATGCTCTATGCTAATATGTTTAGGTCCCATCCTATGATCAATTATTTGACAATTCTGCTGTCAACAACTTATCTTACAGTTAGGTACATGTATAATAGATAAGGCTGCACATATATCTCCTACAACGTGTTGTTTCTTTGTAAGATTGACAGACTCAACATCAAACTCACTGCAGGGTTAGCTGGGCCTGCCTCCTCGATGATGAAGATGCCCTCTGCAGTCATCCTCACTCCCTCCAGAGATGATACCAGGTCAGTACAACCCTCTGCAACAGAAAACCAGTGTATTCATCTGCAGTGCCTCCAGTATTAATGTATTGCTCACTAACATAGTAATCATTAAACGTGGTGTGAAATGAACATCGTTGATATCTGATATTTATTTTGGGCTGCTGCTGTGAAATTAGATAGTAAAGCAAAACTTTCATAACTTCATATTGCTGTAAAATATATTTGTTTTTACTGAAATGCGTGAGCTGAACTCATCACACAGCATCTTCCACAATCCTCCATGTTTCTCTTCATCCTCACCTTGAAGGCCCCAGAGCTCCAGCACCACTGCGCTGCTCTGCAGGTGGTCTAAGAGACGCTGGGAGGTGTGGAGCGAGGCGAAGTGAACTCTGTGGTCCAACAGAGGGTTGACGTTGTGCCACACGGCCGGAGAGTAGAGAGGATGGCTGCAGTCAAACAACCTGAAACTGAGAGAGCGGAGAAAGAAGGACGACAAATATCTCACTTCTGGATGTGTGTCATGCCTGTACTTTAACATCTCTACATGTAGCACATATCTCTCACCCAATCTGGACCCCTCTGTCCCGGGCCTCTCGGATCCAGCGGATGCCACAACACTGCTCCAGAACCAGCTGGAAGTCCAGACGTCGACCCAGTAACTCAGACGGGTCGATCAGGATGTCGTCCTCACCCTGAGCGCTGGAAGGCGAGAACATTTATTTAACACTAAATCTATTAGTGTTTAAGGTAAGTCACAATATGTGTGTGTGTGTGTGTGTGTGTGTGTGTGTGTGTGTGTGTGTGTGTGTGTGTGTGTGTGTGTGTGTGTGTGTGTGTGTGTGTGTGTGTGTGTGTGTCATACAGTCCTGTGGAAGTGCAGGGGACCAGCTGAGCTTGCAGTATAGCCTCCTCCGTGCCCTCTGACCCCAGCACCTGCAGACAGAGATTATCAACTAAATATCACTCTGTGCCAACCTACAGTAATCAAGCAGGCCAAAAGTAAACAATAAAACTAATTTGCAATACATTAGATTACAATAATTAACAATATGTTAAAATAAGTAACTAAAATTATTTAGCACAATAGAATGACTAGTAAAACCAATGATTAAGACTTAAAGACTAAGTGAGAACATGGCGAGGCCCCTTTAGATGAAGACACCCACCTCCAGCTGCTCCTCCAGAGGGATGCGGAAGGCCAGGGACTGAAGCCAGAGGTGAGCGGAGCCCAGGAGCAGCGGCTCCACAGGGTCCCAGAAAGGGTCTTCATCTCTGGGTAACGCAGCTGTAGACAGACCCTCTGCTATCTGACAGCAAGAACATAATCAGGAACAAAAAACAAACAAGTCAATGTTCTGAAATGTAAAACTATTAATGGTAGAGTAACTAAGGTTGACTGTGCACACATTAAACGACTTACATCATATTTTCTAAGCACACATTCTATCAATCTGCAGCACGTTTACCATCAAAGCACTGAAAGATAACTTGTTTGCAATTTAAGTTATGAGTCTCCTCTCATGGCCCTTTCACAAATGTTGAAGTGTTCTCTCTTTAAAGCACTAACATAAATACATAACACACATCCCATATACAGTTATTTGGTTAAAGTCTTTTTTTGTGCACTTTTCAGTAAGTTGGGTTTTTTACATTTTCTTAAATAAGTTTGTTTTGCATGTAGTCTGTGAGCAAAATCAACTTGTAAATGGTCTCTCATTACATTTTGAAAGACACAAGCACAGAATTACATTGTCTCTGCTCTTCTCAGCCTGATGCAGCTGGTAGGCGTCTTCCATCAGGAATTTACGGTTCACAAACTTGGTCTTGGACCACATCCATACCTGGGAGAGTGTGTAATAGCAATTAAAAAAAAAATGAAACACCTGAACTCAAACATAAATCGAAAGTGGAATTATTAAAAATCTTATGAGTTAGTGTATGTGACAGAAGAGCGATATAATAACCTGTTTTCTTCCCACAGCGGTGACTCTGATAACAATCTCCTTCTTCAGATCGTGGCCTTTTGAATCTGACAGCGCCAGATTCTTGATCTCCAACTTAAACTCAACATCCTAAAAAACATGAGACAATAAGATGTAGGGGTTTATTTGTTGTTAATTGACAACGACCACATGACACAAACTAAATGATATATGTGTAATTTAAGTTACAAACACATGAAGTTGAGAAGAATGCTTGTGAGTTTTACGACATCTGACAAAAGTAATATACTGTGATGATTCTGTGCTGGAATTCTTTTTAATCTTTTTGACTATTATTGATTTATTTAAATGTATTAATTCATGTTTTCATTAAAAACATTTCCTTAAAAATACTTTTAAATCAATGTACTTTTAACTTATTTTACATAGCCAAATGTAAAATGTGGAGGCAAGGTTCAGTTAAGTACGTACAATTAGTTGAATGTATTTAATCATTAAACTGCATCAGGAAAGCCACTCTTCCTTAACAACACATGCTGCTGTTTGTGTGTTACCTTGTTCAGTTCCTGGCTCATCTGGTTGGCCTCGGCCACCATGGGCATCAGTTTGATGAAGTCGTAGAAGACGGCCAGCAGGCTGGGGTCCGTCTGACTGGAGCCAGCGCTGGACTCACCTAACACAGAAATACACAGAAATTATATCTGATCATATTTAGACCAAAGTTAAACCTCTTAACTTCCCGCTGTAGACGCTGCTCACCCAGGTGGATTCCCTCAGCCGCAGCCAGCTCGGACTGGAAGTAGTCGTAGTCATAGCGACTCCAGTCGTCCCCGCCTCTCTCCGAGGGAAAACCAATGAACAGGTAGGTGCAGTTAGAGCCGAGGATCAGACGGTCCTAGAGGAGACAGAAAGGAGGAGAATGTTTTGTGTATGTATGTCACACGGTCGCATCATAAAGTGTGTGTGTGTGTGTGTGTGTGTGTGTGTGTGTGTGTGTGTGTGTGTGTGTGTGTGTGTGTGTGTGTGTGTGTGTGTGTGTGTGTGTGTGTGTGTTGACACCCACCAGGTGCTGCAGCTCAGTTGTCTGGGAGACAGAGTTGCCGTTGACAATGACCTTTGACCCTGCCACCGGGGTCAGTGTTACCCGGCGCTGCTCATTCCTGAACACAGAATGACGCTCCTGGATCCTGCCACAGAAAAACACACATACATGAGCAGACACACATATGCGTGTATAAACTCATGCATAAAAAGACCAAAAAAGGTCATCTTAAAAATGGCTGTGCTTCCAGACAAGCCAACACTTAAAATATCATTTTATTCAAATGCTTATTTTTAAAAGGGTCACAGGTCCTGCAGCTTATCTAGCATGTACTGGGTGGGTTTTCTGTCTATTCATATCTTACACATTTTTAAGGAGAAACACGCAAAAAAAATAATAGAAGAGTTTTCAAATCCCATATGAATGGGAATATGGCTTGGTCTCATTGTTGGGAAGTAGATTTGCTTTATTGCTGAAAGGATTAATCCATTCATTGGTTAATTGATTGATAATTAATTGTCCAAACTTTGAATTTCGTGTAGTCTGAATACAAACACCTTTACTTGGACTGGGTTTGTGGTGTTTTGTTGCTCCCCGATGTAAACTCACCCTAAGCCCTTGATGGAGATGTGTCTCGGGGTGGAGTCACACAGGCCGATGTCCCATTCACCTGAAACACAAAACAGTATGAATGAGAGGAAATGAACATGCTAAAGCCGTCATGTTTACATTCAACTCTCGAGCCTGCTTACTTCTGTAGTATTGTTCATTCCCAAAACCTCACTCTCTAAATGTGTACAGGACTAGAGAGAGAGATATTCATCACAACATAAAGACATGAAGACATAGACAGTTACCCTCCTGAATGAAAAGCTTCACCACCCCCGACAGCTGAGTGTCCTCGTTGATGTTCAGGATGTAGGGATGCATCTGCATCATCCTGCGCTCCTGACAGTGAAGGAGAGGGACAGACAGACACGTTAAAAAAATATTTACTGAGTACATGTACAAAAATATATTTTACCCTTCAGCAAGTGCATTTATGTTCTATGATTACATGGTTTCTAAAGCGTATCTGAAACTCTGTTGTTCTCTGATTGTGTATTTGGATATTGTGTGTGTACCTGTGTGATGTTAGCATACTGTTGCTCCCAGTCCTTCAGCGCCTCCTGCAGATGTTGTTCCCACAGAGTCTGAATGGCTCTGATCTGGAGCTCATTGTGGGTCAGCAGCTGGCGAAGCTCCTCTGAACACATAGGAACTAAATTAATATGTTAACAATTAAATGAAATTTCACAACTTAAATACAATGAATATGTTTGTGTCCTCACTGGTCTCGTCGTTGGCCCTGCGGCCCTCCTGGCCCAGCCGGCTCAGTCTCTGCAGCAGCCGGGCGTTCTCGGCCTTCAGCTCTTTCACCAGACGCTCAGTCGGGCTCTCGTTCACCACGGCTCGGTTCTGGATACGCTTTGCTCTAAACAGGAGAAGGAGGTGGGGACACAAAAAGGACAGGGGTTAGGTAGCGAACCCTTATATTATGGTTGCACCTGTTGAATTTGTGATGGTTTACTCTGGTTCTTGTACCTCTCAGCGTAGCGCAGGGTTGAGAGCGACTCCTCATAGCAGATATCAGCAGGGCTCAGCGTGGCAATCTTGAGAAATGATAGATATCCATAATTAGATTCTAAATAAGCATCATCAGTGCACGTGGGTCTGAATACTTACAAATTGAGTCACTAACTGAATACAAATTGCATGCCATTTTGTGTTAGTTAATTAGGATTACAAAACAATGTAATCTGATCTGAATACTGTTGGAATTCTCAAAAAGCCAACATTGAAAATATTGCATTTTATACTATAAAAAGAGATGTAGCCACAAAAATGCATCTTTGTGTGTTGGCACTATTATCTGTGTCTGCTACCATGACAGTACGACTGTTGCCTCCCAGGGCGGACTGCAGCAGTTTGGTGAGGACTGAGTCTCTGTACGGTATGTGGACCACCTTCTTCCCCACCGCCACGTCAGCGAGGGAGCTGGAGGAGAAGAGGAGGTGAGAGATGAAGTAAGAAAAGTGCTGAATGGAAATTAAACACCAGGCCAACCTGATAACGTTTCCCAGGGTGGTGAGGCTCAGGTTGATGGCTGTGCCCTCCTTCAGTCGGTCCGCCTCCGACCCCGACGACCTCTGGCGCTCACTGCCAGCCAGGTCCACCAGGTTGATGTTCGACTGCTTTGTGATGCTCTCTTTGGAAAAGATCTGACAGGAAGTGATGTCAAATACATGTTTTAATATACCTGAGGATTATGTTGTGACACATATAATGAATAGATTCAAGCAAATGGGCAGGTAAGTAACATACTGTGTAACTGACTAATAGCTTTAGTAAATACAAACTTCTTAGATACTGGGACAGACCAATATCAATCTTATTGTGTGTAATGTTTTTAGGAAAAACAGATCCACTTACCTGTTTGAGCTGCAGGATAATGAGCATGTGTGAGCGACTGCTATTGGCGTTCATGTGAGTGGCCGCCGTGGTCCGGGTCCTGGTCCCCTGCTCCATCAGCTGCTCCACCTGCAATAAAAGATGAATACATATTAACCCAAATACAAAATACTAACCAAGCACACACTAGGACTTCCAAAATATCGTTAAATAGTCCTTACAGCTTTCACATGATAATCAGGGTTCCTACACTTTTTTCAAAGTAAAATCCAAACACTTTTTAGCATGTTCAAGGTTCATTTATCTTCCAGCCCTTTACCTACCTTTAAATTATATATACTATACATACAGTTTATGTATTATACTCATAATTTCACTTCTTTGTTACATTAAATCATTAACCACAACATAATACTAAACAAGTGACAATTACAATTTCAATCACTATTCAAACCTTGAAAACACCACAATAAAACTCTAGTTTTTTTAATCATTTCCAGCATCCCTACGTACCCTTGATAGATTTTGACCAGGACACAAAACTGACAGGACACTCTGGACTCAGCTCATTGAGTAAACTTTAAAACATGGACAGTGTATCTTTTCAGCTCCCCTTCCCTGTCTCACAGAGTTTGTTACTGAATGTAGAGGTGTGTAATCTTCCTCCCTCTACCTGCGGTGCGCTGTCACAGGGGACGGTCCGGAGACCCTCCACATAGAAACCTCTCTGCTGCTCCTCTCTGACTCTGAGCCCCCCCGGAGTACGAGACCCCCGGGACAGCAGGTCAACCACCTGGACAGAATGGTCGAATCAGAGATTAATGAAGGAGAGGACGCTGGTCATCTACCAACACATTGACCTTTGAATGAATGTTATATCCAAAGAAAGTTGAGTTGAAACACGACAGCGAATCAGAAGAAGAGAAAATGACAGTGGCTAATTTCCCTTCTGTTACCTGCTCATTATAGATCTCCAACATGCTGAAAAAGACCTGTATAGACATAAAAAATACACTTTGAGAATTAACCATACATGACACTGCGCTGGGAAACAGCAGAGTCGGGAAGTAGTGGAGTACAAATACTTCGTTACTGTACTTAAGTACATTTTTCTGGTATCAGAAAACTACTTTTCACTACTTATTTTTCTGACAACTTCTTACATTTTGAACACAAATACCTGAACTTTCTGCTTCTTACATTTTCAAAACAGGTTTGTTACTTTAGTTTTAATCTGCGTTTGGTGGCGTGATCATTATTATTTAGAGTCATTGCGTGCCTATTGATTTGAACACGATCCGTGTATCCATCATTTCCTGGTCTTCTCTAAAGAAGAGGGACCAATGAAAACGCTATCATTTTGCCGTTGTTCAGCATCGAAACATTCATTAGCTAACAATGACATTATTGTTATATAGAGGGAGGTCAGTTACTCTTTAAAACTGTTAATAGTTATGGGTACTTTTTACTTAAGTACATTTCAAAGCCAATACTTCTTTACTTTTACTTGAGTAAAGAAGTTTAGTCAGTACTTCTACTTTTACCCTAGTATTTTTAAACACAAGTATCTGTACTTCTTCTTGAGTAAAGGATGTGTGTACTTTTGCCATCTCTGGGAAACAGACATAAACTCTTTACCTGGCACTGTCTGGTGTCCTGGTTCTCTCTGATGGCCTGAAACAGCCGGTCACAGAGTTTAGGAACCAGGCCTTTGTTGGGCCCGTAGCCCACCATGGAGTAACTCTTCCCTGAGCCGGTCTGCCCGTAGGCCAACAGAGTGGCATTGTAACCCTGCAGACAGCATTTAACAACATCAGAACAGGACTAAAAAGGACAGTCAGTAAAACCTGGGTATTTGTTTTAGCCAACTGGCACAGAACTGCTTTGTTGCAAAAAAACTATCCATGTGAACAAAACTCCTGTTATAATGTAATGATTATTACCTGCAGTGCATTCTCCAGTATGCCCTCTCCCAGGTCCTGGAACACACTGTCCTGTGGATGGATGATATTTGAACAGCTTGTAACTCAGAATTGGATACAAATTCTCTCAAAAGAGCAGCGTCGTTCTTGTCCAGTTTAGTTCTACAATGCTGCTTTGATTTGGAGTCACAAGACATGGGCGCTATTGAAAAATATAAGACTTTTCAATTAAGAAACTGCTTAATTTTCATTAAAATATTCCTATAAAATAGAAAGTGGACGAACATTTTTAAACAAGATATGTCCTATTTGTCATGTGCAGTAAAAGATCCAGGGTGATTTGTGAATCAATGGGTCAAATGGCATGGAAGCTAATGAAAGGAATGACATTTTTCAATAAAATCTAAATAAAAGAGGTGTGTCCTACTCATCCGGTGTAGTAATGAAATGCAGCATTGCTTGGGAAATATTGGGACACATAGAAGCTATTACATTTGTATAAGACTGCTTGTATCAAATAGAAGCTGGATTAAAATCCCCCAAAAGATGTGGGTCTTATATAATATAGTAATAATATCTGCTATGGATTGGGAATCACTGGGTCACATGATATGGAAGCTTTAAAAAATAATGATCTTACATTACAGTATTTTTGTAAAATCTATTAGCTAGTTGTCTGCATTCTGCTTGTTGTACAATGTTTACTTCCAGCTCTCTGCCTGTTCTACCAGGAGCCGCTGACCTGGTCGGAGTATCGCCCCCCCGGCTCCTCGGGGACGTAGAGGCCCCCGCGGTCCCGTGTGAAGCCGCTGTGGGACCAGTAGGCGTAGTCGAAACAGAACGAGCGGCGGCTCTGGGACTCACGAGGGTCCTGGATGGTGATGGAGCTCGTCACCATGGAGACAATACATCGGCTCCCTGCGTCCCTCTCTCTCTGGGGGGGGGGGGAGGAAGCAGGGTGAGAGAAGGACAAAACCAGACTGTGGGGGGGTTTAGGTAAGATTTAAAGGGAAATAGGAAGAAGTGAGAGTCCTAAGACCAATGTCCAAATCCTCTTTATAATGAAACGTAAGTAGGCTACTTAAAGGGTACATATGTTGCTCATTTCCAGGTTCATTCTTGATATTTCAGGTGTTTACCAGAACATGTTTGAATGCTTTAATGCTAAAAAAAAATAGTTTCCCTCTCCTGCCTCTTTAAATATACTCTTTTTTAGCACTTTTGATAGAAATGCGTTTTATAGGCAACAGCTTTGGTTTATTTTGTCTAACACATCAACTGCAAGTGGGACTTCTTCCTATACACATTGCACTGTATTTCATTTAATTGTATTTTTGTTATTTGACATGGGCTTTGCTTTCAGACAGGCCTACAAAATAACATCTGCTTCAGTGTTGCTATCTTTTTTATAGAAAAGTAATACATCTGTATGATGTCAAATCAACCTGTTTGCCGTTACACAGTTGTGAATACTAACTTTAATGTACATGATATGAACAATAATACAACTATTGATTATAAGAACAAGCTTATGTGTCAATGCATTGTCTTTATTTTGATCTGGTAGGTTCCATCAGTGTGTAGGCCTACTGTATAACAGTCCAATAACATTAATACATTACATTACATTACATTACATTACAGATTTTTTTAAGCGACTCACACTAAGTGCAATAAACCCTGAAGACACAAACTCTGAACATCAATAAACCTGCAGCTGCATTTTCTTCGAATAAACTAAACCATTGTGAATGGTGGTGCATAAGCATTTTTTTAGTAGCATCAACGTTTAAGGAACTCCTTAGTCACTTTATTTTAGTTTGTTTTAGGTTTAATGCTCAAGGTGCAGTAGAAACAGGGGGGTTTTCAATCTGCGACGGAAGAGGTATTGAGTTTCATCCTGATATCATTGTGGAGCCACGATAGCAAACAGGCACGTTCTTGAAGGGTACCTGATGCTAATATCAGTTAATGTGACATGCAAAACATACACATTAGAATATCGTCAGGCAAATAAATAACGGAGAAATTGCATAAAAATTCAAAAAGTGAAACTGTACATATTCTACACACTGACCTTGTTGAAGGGCCGGACTCTGACGGCCACTTTGACACAGTCCTTGCTGTGCATGTCTGCAGCTTTAGCCCTCATGGTGCAGCAGCAGTGATCGGCCCCTCACACTGGGACTGTATCCAGTTACATGTCAACATGGACACAATCAGGTCAGTGTGACAGGGACAGAGGCGTCCATAGTCTGTTTAGCTAATGCATTAAAGGAGAGGTGTCATGGCCATTTCCACTGATCATAATTCCATTGTTGAGGTATACTAAAATAGATTTATACTGTGCATTTTTCCAAACTCACATTGGTTTCTCATACAGCATCTCTGTAAACTACGTGTATTCACTGACTTTTACTCTCTGCCTTTAACGGCTCGTTGTAGCTCCAAAAGCTCCAGCCCCCACCCTCCCTGTGAGCAGTGTGCTCTGATTGGTCGGGACGTTGTGAATCGCGCTGAGCTCCGTGGAGGTGTTGTTTCCTTGTTTAGGATACATAGCGAAACACAGCCAAACTCATCCTGAGCACACACAAACTCACAGCCGAATTAAAAACAATAAGTGTGGCTTGATATTGAGTAAGAAAATGGTTGATAAACGCTGTGAGAATGGGTCTGCAGAGAGAATTTCGCCGCGATCCCAACTGTCTGTTATCAGCCTGCAGCCAGGGAAAATCAGCAGAGCTGCCTGTGTGTGAGGAAGTCCGTGGATTGGTCAATTTGGACCAATCAGCGGGGGCTTAACGTAACGGCTCCGCCGACGTAACGTAACGGCTCCACGGATTGGTCCATTTCGTTCCGGGTACAGGATTACATCATCCCGTACCCGGAAGAATCAAATGGACAATGACGTATCTCCAACGAGGCGTTTTGGGGAGGTATTTTCTGTGTTAGAGTTTTACTCGCTACAGGGTGTACTTTGAGGGTTTTGACTCTGCACACCGTTTACATGCATAAAAACCTTCATAACACACAAGGGGAACCATCAAGAAGAAAACATTGAAAGTTTACGTCTATATGTAAGACTAATGATGCCTAAATCTGTAGTCAGAATCAGAAACAGGTTTATTACCAGGTAGGTTTACACGTACGAGGAATTTGACTAGGTGTCGTGGTGCATAAAAAGAAGAATTAAAAACACAGGTAGAGAACAAGAAAAATATATAAAATAATTAAAAATATAGTAAAAAATAACAGTATTTACAGTGCAATAGAAGGAATAAAATATGGAATAAAAATCTGCAGTAATACAAAATATTGTTGTACATTGTGATCTTTATATGACTTTCCCTCAAAATGTTTTATTTTTCTTATATATAAAAAACACTGGACACTAAACAAACAGACAGTATTTAGCAGATACTGCTACAGGCTTAAAATTAACTAGTTAACTTGATTGACTATAACACATAAGGATAACCAACATTTAAAATGAAGCAATCTATGCTTTTAGTTTGCTATATTATTTCTCCCTGGCGTTTTATTATTGAAGTGTTGCCGTGGAGATGGGGCCGGTTTCACTTTCCCCTCCTCTACATCCATAAATTATAAAAGAGACTCAGAGCTCTGGGAAATAGTGTAATTCCTCCAGGGTGGTTTCACATGTTACAGCTACATTAATGTCAACATTTTATGACTCTCTGAAATTACTTTTCACCCCAGCAGCTACATTTCTGACATTAAATATAACCTAAGCTGGCATTTGAAGGGTTGATTGAGTTTGATGGACATCCGATATTATCTGAGGCACAGGATAAGGTCACAGCTATTGTGGAGGACAATAAGACCCTGGTAGCTCCTTCCAGGCGTTCACTGCACACCACAGACTGACAGGAAAACACACGCTCGTAAAGACAATAAATTGAATTGAGACAGGATTTGAAGTATTCAAGCGTAGCCATATTTATCAAAGAGCAGTCGTCAAAAATAAGACATTCTACATACATTCATCAGAAAATAGCCTATTTCTCAGATGTTGGTTGCCATAAATTTAGTTTAATAAGTCTATTAACATGTCGCAAAACATCTATTATACATTTTTAAAACCCTAAACAGCTGTGGAAGTCTTTTTGTTGATTTCACACTTTACATCATCCCTATTACACACAGAAACACTCCAATCTGATGGCATTAGTCTTTCACAGGTAATCCCTCAAACTGACACACATTTTAAGACTATGGCATAGGCAGGCTGATTAGATGATCAAATGCATTCATGACACTTAAAACCTCAAAATGAAAATAATTTTTTACGATTTATTTATGAACTTTATTTGGAACATAGCAAAAGACTATATACACATTTATCAGTAGAAATCATTTGTCTCCACTGGGTTGGTTGCTTTACTTCTTAAATAGAAAAAGGTAGTAGGCCTCAAGATCTAAAAAGTAAACGATGAGAAAAAAAGAAAAAAAAAAAGAAACCAAAAAGTTAAAAGAGTGTGAATAAAACCAATTTCTCAGGGCAAGGCTCACTTCAGTCCCTCCGGTTTTATTACTGGCCGCTTCTAAAAGCCCACCTTGATTTATTTCCCATGTGTCGTTCTGTGTCCAGAGATTTAGGCGGATTACGAGGAGCGTCTTAAAAATGTCCCACAGATGCAATATCAAGTGAAATCCAGTCCACATGAACGGGATATGTAAACTCCAAAAATATATGCCTCTCTCACACTGCTGTCCAGTGTGTTTTCTCCCAAAAATATATTTTCATGCCTAAATTGCTTTTTTTTTGTATTCACTTGTCCTACAGGGAAGTAAATATACAAAGACAACCACAGCACTCTGAGGCATTCGAGGAAATAGAACCATAATGAGTTTAGGCATACACTTGTATTCGACAGCTCGACCGAGTTGGTTCAGATCTTCTTGCGGCTGTCTGAGGTTCCCCGGTTAAAACCACCACCGACCTCCTTAAAGTTTCTTCCTCCGCGTTACAGGTTTTGAGAAAACGGTTGCCATTATTCGTTTGCGTCGAAGGTTCCTGCCGGGGGCTGGGGGTTCTTCCTCCTTCGTCCTCTTCTGTGCTCGGGGTGGATCAGCGGGGCTGGGCAGAGGAGAGAGCAGCTCCACCTCTGCTATGGGAGGAAGCTCCAACACGGCTTTGGATCTGAAGACGAAGAGACAAATACTGTGACTAGCATTCGTCAAACGTTTGTACGCAAGACATTTGTATCCTATGTCTAAGGGTTCAAAAAGGTATTTTTCGACATGACAAGAGGGTCTTACTTGGCTGTTATTTTGCCTAATTTTCTGGTTTTAGAAACACTTGCTGCTTTTTCCATTCCCACAAGGTCTTCTTCTGAAGCAATTTCATCCTGCAAACAAAAAAGTGGACAATAAAATAGCTTTTTAAAGACATTTTGTTCAATGTACAACAGAATGACTTCTGATTTTCCAAATTAAAATACAACCCTTGACATATGGCTACCATCATTATTATTATTATTCCAAAATCATATGAAAATGGGCGGTATAAAATCATATAATATATAATTAAACTGCAGATATATTGAATTAATCCAAGTATAATGTGCAAGTATTGTCGCCATATCGGCAATATTCACATGAAAGTGTACTAAAGTTGAACTTCAAGGATGCTAATTTGCTTCACTGCCAAAGTAAGTAATACAGTGAAAGTAAACAGGACAAACATTTTTATTTTGTGCATGTGTGACAGAGCAATCACTTTTCAGAATAAAACACAAATCCAGGCAAATGTTTAGACCTTATTAGCAGAAGTATTTACCTGAGGAGCTTCTTTGACAACTTTCCTCCTGCTGCGAGTGACACGGGCCGCAGACTCTTCACTGGGGCTGGGAGACTGTCCTCTCTTAGCTAATCCAGAGAGAGAGAGAGAGAGAGAGAGAGCGAGAGAGAGAGCGAGAGAGCGAGCGAGCGAGCGAGCGAGCGAGCGAGAGAGAGAGAGAGAGAGAGAGAGATAACAAAGGGTTAAAACCATCATGGATGAACAGATGGACACATACAGGTAAATGTATAAACAGCTCACCTCTTGTTCTTCTCCGTGAGGGGGAGTAGATGTAGGAATTTTCGCCTGGATTAGACTCTTCCTCTTCGGGTAGCAGGTGAACCTCCTCCACTGAAGACTTGGTACTCCTCTTGCTGGTTCTTACCATCTTTGTGACGACTGTAATTGGATAGAAAATATTTGAAATTGTTGTGTCACTACCTCAAAGCTTGTTGTATATTATGATGGCTATCTTACAGACACTGAGATGCACTGTATCCTCACACATACCTTCCTGCTTCTCCTTCTCATCCTGCAGTCTCTTGATGAGGGCATCTGCCACAGGCGTCTCTGAATGCACCTCCAGAGGGGAGTCCAGTAAGGGATGGTCTTCCTCGGGGTAATCCCAGAGCTTGGTTCTTGTAAGTCGACGAGAGTTGGAGCGACTAGTTTTGCTGTTTACTTCAGGCTCCAGTTGATCTCCACTTTCTTTGATTTTGTCAGTAATCGTCTCTCTTATCGTCTTCCTTGAACTCTGAGGAATTGATACAGGAACCAGTTTCACCTGAGCGTGAAATGTGGATGGCTTGGGTTTATAAACATGCAACATGGAATAATGAACAAAAAAAAGGTGAATTGAAACTGAAATGTATATTATGAGGCAACACTTATTTTATGGAAAGATGCATCTTAAAGGTCCCCTATCATACTGTTTTTCATCAATATATTATAGTTCTCCGATATATACAAAACATGTCTCTGAAGTGTTTGGCTCCAAACACCAAACAGATCATTGCAGCATCCCATAATCCCCTCTGTTTCAGCCCTGTTTCAAAAGTGCTGATTCTCTGTCTGTTACTTTAGATGAAAATAAGGAGCCACTCCCCACGCCCCTCTGAGAGATGTTTGGTTAAAAAGAACTCAATGGTGCTCTAGGAGGAGATTCAGGTTATAAGGTGGGGGGGTTACCTTGGTTGGTTATTGGCTAATGGTTACACAAGCCAAAAAAATCGTTATGACCTCATAAAGTGGCCAAAATCTGATCAGCTCATTTTCAGACCGGTTTTTATATAAATGGATCAGGACAAAGAGAGAATCTTTTTTCCTGAAACTTTCAGAATCTCTTCACACAGAGTACATGTTGATGTAGAAAAGACATGAAAAAGTGGATTTTGCACTATAGGTGACCTTTAAGTGAATTTAAGGGAAAATTCAGCTGATGGTTCAACAAAGAAAAATCTTAACATCTATAAACATCATGGTGAAGATGAAACATTCAAAGCATTCAAACAGCTTTCAGCTTATTTTACATCAACAACTGGCATACACAAGAAAGAACCGGTTTGAATAACTTACTTGTGGATAAACGCTCAGGGTAATGCGGTTGGACTGTCGGGTCTCCCTGCCAAGACTGGAAGATCTTATTACATCTTCCTCCTCCTCCTCCTCCAGCAGTGCCGTTTGCGTTTCTGATGATGTCGTCTTGCTTTTCTTGGAGTTGCGTTTGGCCGGAGTTGCAAAGACCTCCACCGGTTCTTTCTGTTCTTCCAAGATCTCCAATGTTGCCGACTCCACCTCACTGCTACTCAATATCCTTCTGCTGGACCTCGTCGGAGTGTTTACCCGAGTGGTCCTGCGTTTGGCCGGTGTCGGAGTCTTGGAGCTTGTTCGCCGATAAACTTTAGTATCTGTGACGTCTTCTATTTCCTCCTCCTCCTCCTCCTCATCATCATCACCACTTTCGGTCTTTTTGCTGTTCCTTATTGAGGTGGCCTTCTGGGAAACCCGACGTCTGGCTGGTGAAGTCGTTGTGTTGTCAGTATCCATGGCGATCTCCTCTTTAACATCTTCTTTTGGAGGCTCTGGCTTAGCATTACGAGAACTTCTTCGAGGTGTAGTACATTTGACTTTGCTCTGGTTACTTTTTCTAAGTGTACGACTAGGAGACGCAGGAAACAGAGTGCTGGTTAGTTCCTCCTCTGCTTCCTCTTGGAGGGGAAAGGCAATCGTCCTCGCTCTTGTTGTCCTCCGTGTTGGCGTGGAAGGTGCCTTCTTTTTCCTCTGGGAAGATGGGGCCTCGAGCACCGGCTGTTCCTCTGGCTGGCTATTTGAGATCACAACTGGCTTCAAAGGTGTCTCTTCAACCTTTTTTCTTGGTCTTCCCTTTGCCTTCTTAGTTTCTTTCTCCGTCTTAAGTTCTTCCCCGTTATTCTCTTCTGTTGCTGCTAAGGCTTTGTGGACCTGTTGCTTCTCCTCCACAACAGTCGCCGACACTGCGCTGGACATTATCTCTGTATCCACATTAACAGGTCCACTCTCTTCAGGCTGTTCCTGGTCCTCAGCAGGTGCTGGTTCTTCCTTCTCCTCTCCCATCTCCTGATTAGCATCTTGCTCTGCCATTGAGTCTTTGTCATCCACAACTGGTGGGATGACTTGCAGTGCATTCGGTTCCGAGTCGGAAAGACTTTCAGGTTCCTGATCTTCTTCAGCAGGCATTTCTGCTGTGGGTTCTTCCACTGGACTTGGTTCAGACAATGAAATGACTTCAGGTTCTCGATCTTCTTCAGAAGGCATTTCTGCTGTAGGTTCTTCTACTGGACTTGGTTCAGAAAATGAAATGACTTCAGGTTCTTGATCTTCTTCAGCCAGTATTTCTGCTGAAGGCTCTTCCACTGGACTTGGTTCAGACAATGAAAGCACTTCAGGTTCTTGATCTTCTTCAGCCAGTATTTCTGCTGAAGGCTCTTCCACTGGACTTGGTTCAGACAATGAAAGCACTTCAGGTTCTTGATCTTCTTCAGCCAGTATTTCTGCTGAAGGCTCTTCCACTGGACTTGGTTCAGACAATGAAATTACTTCAGGTTCTTGATCTTCAGCAGGCATTTCTGCTGTAGGCTCTTCCACTGGACTTAGTTCAGACAATGAAAGCACTTCAGGTTCTTGATCTTCTTCAGCCAGTATTTCTGCTGTAGGCTCTTCCACTGGACTTGGTTCAGACAATGAAAGCACTTCAGGTTCTTGATCTTCTTCAGAAGGCATTTCTGCTGTAGGCTCTTCCACTGGACTTGGTTCAGACAATGAAATGACTTCAGGTTCTTGATCTTCTTCAGCCCGTATTCCTGCTGTAGGTTCCTCCACTGGACTTGGTTCAGAAAATGAAATGACTTCAGGTTCTTGATCTTCTTCAGCTGTAGGCTCCTCCACTGGAATTGGTCCAGAGTCGGAAAGACTTTCAGGTTCTTGATCTTCAGCCAGCATTTGTGCTGGAAGTTCTCCCACTGGACTTGGCCCAGAGACTGAGCATCCTTCCTGCTCCTGATCTTCAACTAGCATTTCTGCTGAAGGTTCTCCCACTGGATCTGGTTCCGACATTGAAAGGCCTGCAGTTTCATGATCTTCAACCAACATTACTACCTCTTCATCGCTCTGTACTTTAGCATCTTCTGTCTCAAGGTTTTCCGCAGTGTTTTCAGTTTGTAGGCCAGCAAGTTCTGACTCTGTCGTCTCATCTAGCTCAATTCCATCTAAAGTATCCATCTCTTTGCCCTGGTCCTCTTCAGAGATTTCTCCAGACCCGGGGGGATCCTGATCATCCGTGTCCAAAATAATGACCTCAGGTTTGTCAAGAGCCTCCACTGCTGGAGACAGGGAGGGAGGGTCAGAGCACTGCAGATCATTCTCCATCGGCAGCGTGTCTGCATCATCGTCCATATCCAGCATCAGAGAGAAGCTGCCATTAGCTTCGGTCCTCGGCTGATCTGGCACCAGGGTCTGCTGAAGCCCAGGAAGACACAGCTGAGAGCCATCGACCAGGCCTTGCCCCTCCACAAGCTCCAGTGGTACGAGGAGAGTGGTAGAGGGTTTGAGCTCCATGTATGATGTTCCTTGCTCTTCGTCCTCAACAGCATCTAATCCTTCATCCGCACCGAGTCTCACCATCACCACCTCACCCTCCATGTCCTCCTCTAACATCTGTAGTGGAATAAACAGACAGGAAGAGTTATTTCTTGATTTCTAACCTCTGCCAAAGAGGTAAAACAACAAAATAAACACTTTGGCCTTAGCGGCGGACTGCTATTTGCTTTAATAAATATCTTTTGTTAAACCGTTGACATGGTGCGTCTCCTCTTTGTTGTGGCCTTTTGAGCCAGGTCATAACAGGCATTTACTCAATTAGTCGTGATAAAATGATTAATTGATCACTGTGCCCAAATTAGCCAAATTAACTAAGTGCAAAACCCAAATGAAGTATGAGGTGTGGATGTCAGTGGTATCAGTAGTGTAAGTGCAGGGTGAGGATTGCATGGACATGTATGAGTGTGAGAGTGTTGAAGTGCACAAAGTAAAGCAACTAAAGTAACAACAGCATATACTCAACAAAACCGGAGGCCTGTAGGGAAAAGCAGAGAGAGCACAGAGAGGAGCAGAGAGGCTTTAAATAGCTGCAGGACACCAGACCCAGGTGCCCTGAGTTACTGCAATCAACACAGCCCAGACAGGACAGCCACACCCTCTCTAATGATGGACCCACAGGGGCATCACAATGCCTAATAAAGTGTTACCTTTATCTCTGCACCGGGCTCGATCAGAGAGAACTCCGCAGCCTCCTGTTCTGACAGACTTGGCAGGAAGTGCGTGTGTTCTTGTTGTACAAAGACTGAAGTGGGTTGGAGCGGTGGCAGCCTCCCATTACCCTGGACCTCCTCAATGATCTCCACCTCACTACCAGAGTCCTCTTCCTCTTCCTGGTCTTCCTCCTCCTCCTGATCAGACGACTCCTCCTCCTCCTCTTCCTCTTCCTCTTCCTCTTCTTCCTCTGACAAGGCGCTAGAAAGCTCTTCACTGTCATTCAAACTCACAACAGCTAGTAGAAAATGAGAGAGCAGAGAAGTGCAGGTGTGTGAGGAAATGTGTAAAGCAGTACAGCAATAGTCAGTGTTCATTTGCATGTGTCGTCCTCACATTGGGAGTCTGTGCCTGTTGGCTCCGTCGACGTCACAGAAGCAGAAGATTTTTGGCTGGTGAACACTGGAGGAGCTTCAGCCGCATCCTGCACCTCCTCATCAGCATCACCCGCTGACTCACTGGGAGAAGGGAGAATAACATTTTTATTAAAAACCTAAATACATCATTACATGTCATTTGTTAGACGCTTTTATCCAAAGCGACTTACATACATTCAGTACTGTGGACAATCCCCACAGGAACAATTTGGGGTGAAGTGTTTTGCCCAGGGACACAACGACATGCTGACTGCAGTGGGACTCGAACTTGCTATCCCCTGATACGAAGTCCGCAATTTTTGCGAAACCATTACAATCATTCCTGCTTTTATGACCAACAAACCCTGTACAAACGAGGGCTATATCCCAGAAACAAACCAAACCACGCCCCGTAAAACTCCCAAAAAGTTTTGTGAAGCCGCCATTTTATTTGCTCGCATTAACATTATTAGCATTAGCATTAGCCCAGCACACCAACGGAGAGAGACTAACTTATGGCAACACAAAATAAAACGTGGGAGCGGTGGAGTGATGAGGAGGTGTCGGCGTTCTGGCGATTTACTCGGAAGGCTTCAGTAGAAGCTGCTGGGAGTCCCAGCAGCTTCTACTGAAGCCAGTCCCCAACTCCGGGGACTTCCGGCCGGGGACTTCGGGTGGCAGTATACACCGTGAAGTTGTTTGCGGCCTGCTAGTAAACCCAAAGCAGAAGAAGACGAAGTGACGTCAGCGGCTTCATTTGCCTAATCCTCCCTCAGGGACTTATTCCGGTGTGAACGCGATCTGCTCTTTAGTTATCATCAGAACTAAAGAGTTCTGATGAACTAAGTACGCCAAAGTACTTGGTGTGAAAGCGCCTAATGGGGAGCTCATTCCACCATTTTGGAGCCAGGATAGCAAACCGACGTGTTTTTGCTGATGGGAACTTGGGTCCCCAACTACAAAGATGTAGTGTTATTTCAAGTGTTTCTCTTATTCAATAATACACTTCAGAGATATGGATTAAAATAAAGACTTGACCGACCACCTAACCTCTAAAATATGATGTGTTCATGACATTGGAAAGGACAAATATGAATATACATGCAACCTGAAAACATATGCTTCTGGCCACAGCTTTAACAATTGGTCTTATAGGTAAGAGATTTCGTTCCTCTTTTTGTAAACGGAACATTTACAGACCTGTTGAAGGAGGCCTGCATCTGGGATGCGTCGTGGATTCCTGAGCGGGAGAGCGGAGGAGACGGATCGCCGCCAAACAGATGTCTCTGCACAAACTCTGTCAGATCTGTCAGATAAAACAGGAGAACTCGTAAGTATGAGGTCCTTATGTTCTTGGTATGGTTATGGGTACATTTTCCACCATAGAAAAGCCAGGTGTTACACAATTTCCTCGTAACCACCATTGTTGCCTACGTGGTAATATCTTCACATTTAAAGTTTAAATGGATAATTTAAAGATGGACCTGTTGATTGCTCCAGTTCCTCTTCTGGTGTGATTGTGGGTTCAGGAGCTGCAGATAGTTTCAGAGCCTCGGTGAACTCTGTGGATTCAGAGGCCTCAGTCTGGACGTCCTGCTCCACTGGAAGATCCGGGGATTCGACTTCAGCACCAGAGTCTGTGCCCTCAGTAACCTGGTGACAAACTAGTAGAATACAACACGTTTGTCAAGCCATGTTTTAGGGAAGTGTGGGAAAAACTATTTTTCTTAACAACTCTTATTTTGGAATTGTAAATCTCAGAGCAGATCTAGGTATCTTGGTGGGGTGACTTGGTGTGAGACTTCTAAAAAGGTAATTGAGAAATAAATAAACCCAATTACGCAAATGACTACCTTCCTGCAGCCACACACACAGCCACACACAGTTAATAACTGTAATATATACCTGGCTGCTAAATCCTAAAGAACTGTTACAGGATGTGTATTTTTTTAATTATGTAACTTTTTATTTTTTTTATTATATTTTTTATTATATATATAATATATTATATATTTATTATTATCATAACTTAGTACTTTTTTTTTAAATGCATGTCACATATTTAACATTATGTAACATTAAGCTGTCTGTGGCTCTTTTTCCTGCTGTAACTACGCACATTTCCCCTCCGTGGGACTAATAAAGGTGTTCTGAATTACCTTGAGTGGACGTCTCTTCTTGGGGAGGAGTTGCAGCATCTTCATGTTCGCTAATGGTCTGAACTTCCTGTTCATCCTCCTTTTTAGACTGAACTTCTTCCACATGTTTATTAGCCTCCTCTTCGAGACCAATTTCCATCACGTCCTCAAATGTTTCATCCTCATTCTCCTCCTCTTCCTCCCTCGCTGTGTCCTCTGATGTCAGGACAGGTGTTTGCTCAGTGGTTTGAGAGAGCTGTTCCTCTGCTTCTTCATTTTCAGTTGGGTTTTTGATGTTCACTGTCACTACCTCGTCTTCTTCTGCTGTTTGCCCCTCCTCTCTTTCTTGGTCCTCTGGGAGAGAGGGAAGCGGTGCATCATAAAACTCCAGAGTGGTGTCAGACGTCTGGCTGGTGTCAAAGCTCAGGTTGAGTTTTGTGTGTGTTGCATCTGATGGTCTGGTTTCTGCAGCACTTTCATGGATGGAGATTGACTCGCTATCAAAGCATCTCAGCTCTGGGGAGGGAAGACCACCTTCTGGAGGCAGGAACTTCACATGAGGTTCTTCCCTTTCCTCTTCATCCTCCTCGTCCTCCTCCGCAGGCGGTGCAGGCCAGGTCTTATGTTTTGCCTTGGATAGAATGGGGTCTCTGGTCAACAAGCTAATCTCACTGTCTGCTGCCACCTAGAGAAGAAATCCAAAGAAGATAGCAAAGCCATTTTATTGACTAAAGACCAGGAGGCAGTGAACACTTTCAAAAACACACATTTTGGTTTGGCCCTTGATTTTTTTTGTTTTGTCACAGTTAGATGTTGCCGAACAAATAAGATAGAAAGGGGGGACATTGAGCAAGACCAACTTTATAAATGACATAATTCTATCACATAGATTAACCAAATTTAAGAGGACTAGTTCACACATTGCCTCGTAACGTATGTTTATGTTGCAGTATTTATTATTTTCCCAAACTGTCACAATTCTAATTAAGACAAAATGAAACAAAAAACCTAAACAGCTAAATGGGGATAATGGTTGAGTAGACATTTCTAAGCAGAAATTAGTTAGAGTTGGTGTTTTTTGGCGTGTGAGGTGGCTTCTGAGAGTCGACCCACCACTGCCATATAGTGCTTGGTCTTACCCCATTGGTCCATCGGATGCCCTTCTCCGATACAGGAGTTTCTTCCTCATCGATGAAGGTGATCCGGCTCTCTTTGTTGCGGAGTGGGGGGGTGATGGAGCGTCCTGGAGAAGCAGACGGGGTGGCGACGGGTGTGGGCCTCAGGCTGCTGCGCAGGATGGACTGGGGAGTGAAGGCAGAGAACACGGGGCCAGAAGCAGCCAAGGCCCGCGCTCGCTGAAAAAACAAAAACATGAAGTGTAAGCAACAAATACTCTAAATGATCCAGGGTTACTTAGTCAATTATTGAGAAGAAGAAAAAATATATATATATAAACAGCATTTTCAAATCGATTTCACTTCTTAGGATATCGTGATGGAGTAAGCGTTTAGGTGTTGATTTCTTACCTTGACAACCTGTGGTGTTTGCAGCAGACTGAGTTCAGGGGCCTTGCCGATGCTCTTCGGAGAAACCCAGGAGCTGGGAGGTCCGGGAGGACTGAGCAGAGGGCGGGGGGTCGTACAGGAGGGGTGAACCACCAAGTCCTTCAGCCTGGTTAGATAAATATTAACATCACATTATTATTTGTTCTTTATGATAAATGATCAAACAACTTGTTTTTGATTAAATTGTGTCAGAGGAATAAAGCTATCAAGTGTTTTCTTTAATGTGTATGGTTGGCTTTGCTTGGTTTTCCTAACATGCTCTCATGAGAGTACCTTGACTTTCGTCTGGAGGTCATGGTGATGGGAGTCCCCAGGAATGGCTCAGAAAGGGCCATGGAGGAGGAGGAGGGCTTGGGGCTGTGAGCATCAGCTGCCCTCCTCGGACTGGCAGACACATTTTTTTAAAGATTAGAAAATAACCAAGATTATTCTTTTAAAACCAATAAAAAATTAATAACTTTAGTTGCCATTTTTGTATTTTCTGCTCACCTCCTGCCTTGGGAGGACTGTGGTGAAGCTCCGTTGCCCAACCACACCTCCTCAATCTTGGACAGAACATTGTTGATGAAGCCGGCCCTCGACATCACCTTCTCACTGACGGAGCGTCTGGTGATGGTTGACAGTGGCTGTGGCCGAGAAACTGTAACACAGGAAGTGAGTGTATTATTTATATTGGATAAATAATGTAACTTTAGCAGAGATTACATTTCAACTAAAATAACAGACCCTAATGCTGTGGTTGCACGCAACATATATGTTTCTTGGAGCAAATAGAAATAGACAAAAAGTTTAAGTTGGGCATCTCCTCACTTTCTCGGTGGATGGCGTTGGGATGCTGGTACGGCTTCCCTTTCTCCATTGCCATTTTCCTCTGGACTCTGGGCAAAACTTTGCCGTACTGATCCAATATCAAGTTCCTGGTGTTGGACCGTTCTTTAAGCTTTGGGTCTCGCTCATTCTACAAACAAAGAAGAGAGAATGTGTTTATAAATATTATGGGATTTGAGTATCTTCTTTCTTGCACACTGATAGGATTTACATGTTTGGAGAAATGACTAAATTGATAAAAAAAAAAGGAATTTCTACTGTTGAATACGAGTCATATTTTAACAAAACATAAGAGCACTATAAATGTGACAAACTATATCTCAAGTTAATGCTGGGATAATAACCCTAATACAATATACCAGAGCGTCAAACCTACCGCGAAGTTCACTTTGAGCCTCTGGTTGAGCTGCAGTGCAGGAATGTAGTTGGCCTGCTGGAGGTAATGAACCATCAGCAGTTCTCTGTTCTGGAGACCCCCTGTCCCCTGGAGGAACTTCTCCAAACCTTCCTGAAACACAAACCCAAGATCCGTGAATTTGAGGCATTGACTTTATAATCCAAAAACAAAAGAAAGGAATAATCTACAAGAAGAATAATGGAGGGTCAGGGATTTAAAAAGAAAAAAATCAGATAATGAACTTGTGTCCCTCCCACCTGCTCAGTGACGCTCAGAGGAAGTTTGAACAGCTCGGGGATGAGGCCCAGCTCCTGGCAACTCTCATACAGAAAGGCCAGCAGCTCTTCCATGTTGAGATGATTAGAGTGCTGCCGAAGTAAGGACCACGCCTCTATCAGACACCTGGATTAACAAAGGTAAAATAAGACATCAAGAGCTGACATAGGGGTTTTATCATGCTCATTTCCTAAAACAAAGAGACATGTTTTCTTGTGTTTTATAGTACATTTATATTAAAGTTGTTTCTGCTAGTGGTTTGCACACGGTCCTTTCCCTTTGCTCTTACCTGTTGTGTATAAGTACCGACAGGTAGAGTTTGGCCTGGGAGGTGGAGGAAACTGGGGGCTTCGTAACGTGGAAGTATCGAAGTGCCACTGCGTGTTGGCTCTGGCACATCAGAGCATGCAGGACACGCTCATGCTGCCACTCAAACTGACACTGAGAGGCCGCTGGATGCAGGAGCAACTCGAAGGAACTCTGAGCAGGAAAAAGAGAACATTAGTGTCATAAGAGAGTGAATTAATGAAGTGTATCAATCATGTTGACAATAATGTTGTTTGTTAAAACTTTTGAAGCTCTCTGGACTTGCACGTCTTTATATCCATATCTACGTCTAAACGAAATCAGTCAAATGTGTCAGAGGGGGTGTACCTGGTGGTCGTGATGGTCCAGCAGCCAGAGGCCTTGAACTAGTTTCACCAGTCCGATAGGGATGGCAAAGGCTGGGGGGAAAGACTCCACTGATGCTCCCTCCTTATTGGGGAAGGAGTACATAACATCCAGCAGCAGGTAAATCACCTGGGACAACAGGTCAAGGATCATACATGAGGTAGGCTTACGAGTTTGAGATTTACAACTAAGATCAGTTAGATCGTCAATTAAATGAGCCATTTAACCCATTGAACACCACGCAAGTGATTTCATACATAACTTGGCATTATCAATAGAAAGGATACAATTGCATGTTTGGTTGCTTCATCGATGTTGTCTAGGAGATAGATGTCCAACAACGCCTGTGGAACAATACAAAAATCAGGTATAAAATCAAAAGATTACACACTGTAAAAGCAGCAGATACAATTTAAATTACACACGAAAGAGAATGTAGAAAAAAAAAGAAATAAAGAATACATTTGCTTAACGCTTACATGCAATGTAGGTGGAGGGTACTGCCCAGTGCCATTCTCATCCCTCTTCCACAGGTTCATCAAGCGCTCACCACACTGGCCGACCAAACCGTCAATCATCAGGCAGTCGGCACACCACTTGCCCCTGAGAACACCCAGCAGAGGGTCAGCATCATATCAACTTAGAATAACACCGTCATAAAAAATATATAATTCAGAGAAATATTGGTAGCTGCATTCATAGATTTTAAAATATATGCAAGACTGAATTGATTTCAAGCAAAGATTACTCACTTAGACAGCCTGGTGAGCTCCTCTCTGCGTATAGTATAATAGTTGCTGATGACAGAGTGAGTGTAGAAAGGCCTGGAGATCTGGAGAGCGTCATCTTCTGGTGGGGAGGGCAGTTACATTCATACAGTGAGAATTCAGTAATATTCAAAAGTTTGGCAACCCAAAAAAACATGCAGATAATATTCTGTCAAAAAGTAAATAACATTACCAACTCAAAAACCAGAAACATTTTCAATTGAATGTTGTTAACGGCATCCAGACAAAACCCTAACTGCACATTCCACAATTCCTTTATGCTTAAGATATTTGTAGGTCAATGGGATCATTGTCCTGTTAGCAAACAATGTTTTCACTGACTCAGAGGAAAAGTGTAGTGTGAAATTGCTCAAAAGGTTTAATGTTTATGCCAGCAACACCTTACCTGATCCCTCCGGCAGCAGACCGGTGCGACAGAACCAGAGCACCACCTGAGCGTACTTTGAAATCAGACTGGACACCAAGTTCTTGTTTATCAGACCCACCAGGCCTACACAAGGAACAAATATAAGCAAAGCCTCTCAATAAACCTGAATGACTCAAAACAACATCACAAGAGCTTCTCGGTCACTACATATGGCTGATCAAAGGACACTGCATTATAGCTCAGTAATAAACCATAAAGATACTATTTTAAATGATTCTAACACTCAATACACATTAAAACAGTTTAGCAGGAATAAGAGTTCAAACTTTTTTTTGTGTGCTGACTCGACCGGTTTTCACTGACATCACAAGAAAAACCTAACACTTACATGTGTGTGAAGTGTGTATGTGTGTGTGTGAGTATATTGCACCTTTTTGTGTGAGTTCCTGAGCTTCACTGAGCAGACAGTGGAAGATGGTGCTGAGGTTACCGAGCAGTCTCTGGCTGTGCTGCAGCAGCTGCATGGTCTGAGGGTCTGTGAAGTTGGACGAGCTGTCAAACAGCGGTGCACCTAGGGAGCAAACACACACATTCAAATGTAAATGCAAACAGGATGGATAATCAACCTGAAGGGTTACTTTACATTGCAAACACATCAGATCTAATCTATTTAAATGTATTACTAAATAGCCTGAGTGGTCACCAAAATAAGGTTTGTCAGATGTCCATTTCTTTAAAACTGACAACAATTCTTAAGACTTCATAAGATCACTTCACTAGTTCAAAGATGATCAATGTAAACGAAAAAAAGCACATTTAAGCATTACTGAGACTACTTGGTGTATTTAAAAGTTCTACGGTTCTTGTATATGTATAATTCAGAATGTCTTTTCATTAAAAATAAAATAATATTACAACTTACAGATGCCATCCAGGTCCTCCTTGGTCTGGACCACTTTGTTCCAGGCCCAATCCAGGATGTAGCGCAGGTTCAGTGCAGAGCCTGGTTGTTCTGTTAAGAAGGGACAAAATGAAAAGCTTTAGAGTTGAATGCATTTATGTAAAGGGTCTGAGTAACGACACGTTTCAATGTATGAGATGAAGCCAAAGAGAGAAACAAGAGCATGCGTTGCCAGCATAGTTGCATATATGGCTGCATAATAATGCCGTGAACATTTTGAAAACAATTTGACAGTTTTTATAAATCCCAATGACTCCTCACCTTCTGCAGTCCACTGCTTGATACAGCCAGTGATCATTCCCAAGGAGCTGGTCTCCACCGCTGTGGACAGTATGGCATCCAGCTGCTCCTCCTACAGGCCAACAATACGTTACGTGTACAAATTATTGCCAGGTCTTCTGAATGAAATTATGAAATTGTTTTGTAATGGAAAATGAAAAAAGGGAGTCACTTTAGCATGTGTGTGTACCTGAGAGAGGCTGGAGGGCTGGGTGTCAGCCAGGCGAGAGGAGAGGAGGCCGGACATGAGGCAACGAGAGTAGCTGTTGGAGATGACTTCACTGGAACAAGGAGCAGCTTTCTTCAAAAAGCTCAGGGTCTGGTGATAACAAAGGTGAGGTAAGGTTTAAAATAATCCTATTTTCCATTAGAGCTGCAATGATAAGTTGACTAATCAATAAGTTAATAGATAGATAAATAATCTTCAACTATTTAGACAATCGAAAATGCTGTTTTGCTTCTCTCTATTACAATCACATTAAACTGATGACTTTGAGTATTCAAATGAAAAAAACAAGACATTTAAAGATATCAGCTTGGAGTTTTTGAAAGTAGGGATGGCCATTTTTTTTTTTAACTGTGATTTCCATTCAAATCAACTTGACATATCCAAATTCTTTGTGAAGGGAAATTATTGTGTAGCATTAGCACAACACAAATTCACATCCTAAGTTTGTTGAGACAACACACAGGAAAAGGCTGTGTAAACTAAAAAGCAAACATTGAGAAGCATGCCTTTAAATGTATGTACGGGCAAATATGCTTCCAACAAATTGAATGCAATGTCATAAAATTAATGATGAGGTGAAAGTATGTATGATTGAAAATTGAACACAAGAATCTCACCTCTTTCTGATACCCAGAGCAGGTCGAGTGCACAATTCCAGAGTTGATCAAACAGGTAACATCTGGAACATGAAAGCAAGAAAAACTGTTTACTCAACCTTCACAGTAGAACAATGCTTCAGAGACAAGGCTGCACAAGCAAATACTGAGCAACACAAACAGGCCACATAAATACAGAAGGATAAGAGGAGATAATACAAAAAGATATCACATTGTTGCACATATAGTGTCTACACGTACCAAAGTTATATGTGGTGGGGTTAAAGTACTGTTCTGGTGGGGGGGAGGTGAAGGGAAGGCCCCTGCTCAGGCTGCGCTCGTGCACCAGCACATCCAGGAGAACATGTTTAGACACCATCTGCACCACGGGGTCCAGAGACCAAACTGCCAGGTAGGGACAATTTTGCAGAGACTGACCCGTTCTGAAAGCAACACACAAGCGAAAGTTAAATTGAGTGAAAGATGATTTATCAAAATGATGGAGGAGTTTAGTTTTTGAATGGGTTTATATGAGATTATTACAACACAAAAATGGCTTCAACCAAATCTTCAAAATAACTTTTCAGTGTATGCAACTGTTGAAAATATTCTGTAAAAAAAGGATGTGATGAAAGTTGGTAATTTCTTTTAAACGTATTTAAATTAAGAACTCAAAAATACAAAATCAGTCTCAATGATACCTCAAAGAGTCTGGCATCTGTGCGTGGTACCAACGGTTGATGTCAAAAACCCCGATGTAGGTGGATGGGGTTCCCTGACCGTAGGACTTGACTTGCCAGCAGAAGATGGAAACACTGGTGTCTGGAGATGCAACTGTACATGTGGAGTGAGAGAGAGGAAGGAGAAAGGGGAGGGTTATTAAGAACAGAAAGGAAGTACGCAAAAAAAAGGACAAAGACTGTTCTCCACAAGTAGATAGTAACAGTAGAAGCAGTTTTAATGAAAACACATTAATCAGGCACAGAACATGCAACTAAAATGACTGGCACCATTCAAACTCCCAAGCTGAAAAAGTGTGGGCACCCCTGGCCTAGACTATCTCATTTTGATAGACAAAAAGGATGATTTTTTTTCTTCAAAGATTATATTTCTCTACTACCACAACGCTGTCAATGTCAAAGCACAGCATATTCAAATATGATTGGAAATACTTAAAATCTGCACAAAGTTGTTCCATAGAAATTCATATCTTCCACAGATAGTTTCAGGGGAAGCGGGCTAACCTTCGTTCATGCTGTCGTCTCTGTCAGGATGGTGTCGGAACTTCTCGATGGTCTGGCAGCTCAGCAGGCGGGTGTTGGTGGCCTGGGACCTGAGAGGGAAAGCTGGGCCATTTAACTCCTGACTGTAACGTTCCTCACAGTACTCCAGACCCTGAGAGACAGCAAGTTAAAAAGGGAAGAATGTAAATCAAGAAAAGTAAATATATATAGTAAAACAGCTGGGACTTAAACATCACGAGTAGAGTGAGGGTTTCTAGTGGTGTGATTCTGTGTGCACTACAAACCTCATAGAGGATCTTCCCAGATGAAAGACACTTCCTTTCACTGAAAGCCAGCTGAAGTAGGCGGAGGCTGACCATATCTCCCTCGCTGTGTGGGAGTGAGAGAAAAATAGGCAAGGGGAAAATAAGAACCTACAGAATCTCAAGGAAAATATGCCATGAGTTCACCTCTTTAAATTCACACAAATAACATAGAAAACATGTGTTTAATGCAGGACTTACAGGTCCTGAGAAGACTGGACAGCCCAGAGGTAGCAACAGTTCCTGGGGTCATTTTCTGGCTCCTGGAAGGTGAAGGCATACACAGGCACCCTGCCACCTTCTAACTGGGAGTGGAATCTACACATAGAAGCAAACATTTATTAACACATGGTGATTTTTCAAATTAAAAATGCATAGCGTTGAGCCTAAAATGGAAAGTAAATCATAGCTGCTTATGAATAAAAAAGCAACCACAGACATGCAATTACATTACATATGGCTCTTGGGATATGAAACATGTTTGTGATGAAAAACCTACAGTTTGTTGTACGGAATGTTTTTTGTTTTATTTATTTAATAGGTTTTTATATATTTTATTGTATTCATTCGTTTTTTCTTCCTTTATTTTACAGAGAGGGATCACTAATAACTTTATTGTGTTTTATCATACCTTTTACCTGCTGTGTCTTTACAGAATACTAATTACAGAACAAACGGTAATAATCCAATGTGGCCTCACAAAGGATTGTCTATAAACTGACACCCAGGCATTTTTCGCACTTTCACAGAATATGGAAGTCAACAGAAATACAAAAACTCACTCCTTCTTTAGAGTCTTCATGTTCCACAGCTGTACGTTTCCATCTGAAAATCCCACCGCCAGCTGGTTGGTCCTGGAGATGTACTGCAGAGCTGTCGCTCCAACACCGCTGGGCCCATTCAGCTGGAGACAAAGATGTCTGCCCTGACTGGTGCCGACTTCTCTCAGCCGGGGGATCTCGGCTGGAGATTTGGTCACTACCTGCAGGTCTGTGAACAGAGTAAATATAAAAAGAGAGATGGTTTCAGGTGGAGAAACAAGTTTGTAGCAAGAAATCCAGAAAGCAAGACAATAAGTATTTTACTGCCTCAAGAGGCCTATAGGCTCGCATCCTTATATATCCATTTTCTTTTTAGAATAGAAGAGTTCAATCACACAAGCTCCTCACCTGAAGCCTCCAGTTCACTTTGGCTGCAGGACAGGTCGTCCAGGCAGAGGTCGACCAGCAGAACATGGCCGAGATCTGTTACTACGGCGGCAATGCCAAAGAACCAGCGAAGACTTTGGTGAAGATGCTGGGTCGAAGCACTTGCTCCACCATAACTCACTAACGGCTCAATAGCTGTAATCTACAGCAGAGAGGATGGAAAGAAAACAGAAAGAAAGTGTTGAAGTTCTGATGGATAGGATAAGATAGGATGTCCTTCTCTTAAATACCAGTAGCAAGAATATATGTTGCCCTAAACCGGTACATTTAAATCATTGTTTAAGAAGATTTAGTCCACCTAGACCAGATCAGAGTCGAGGTGACCCTGGTGCACTGCCCACTCACCCTGCCTGGTATAACAACAGCTTTGACCACCCTTGATAGTCCCAAATCATAAAGACACAGCACACTTCCCTCTGCTTCCTCCAAGCCGACAAGTAATCCAGACCTAGTAAATTACAATAATAAAAAGCATTAGCAAAGTTAGCATATATAAAAGAACACATCTTTTTTTTGGAAGCACATCATTCTGACACTTGTTGACTATCACAAATTACAAGTTTAATACTATGTTATAGTTTGTTTGGACTACAATCCACATCAAAGAGATAGAAAGAGAAAGGTAGTGGAAGAAAGCTCTGACCTTTTTAGCCAGCTAAAGTCCCTGGCAGCGAGGACAGTGGGGGGGTGCTCTCCTCCACCACTGAAGCAGTATGCAGACAGTCGCTCTCCTGTCACTGAATGGACCACCTCCAGATGGGGGCCGCAGGCCAGCCAGGCAAGCCCGCTCCGGCCTTCACACACACAGACATGAAAAGTGCAATGTTAGTGCGATCTGATCCAGTATTACCACTAAGTTAGCTTCCATGTTCAAGAATAAACAGCTCATGATTGAATTAACAATTGACCTGCTCGTAGTTCTACAAGTTGTATTTGGGGATAAAACCTCAAATGTAAGCATCCAAAAATGTAAATGTAAAGCTTTGTTTAACGGAAGGATGGAAAGAGTGTTTAATTAAAATCAGCGGGAGATACAATTAACATTTACAGAGATTACTGATCAGCGAAAATAGGCTTACCAACAGTGAACTTCCCATGTAACACAGAGTCTAGGGTGATCTCATCCTCTCCCAGAGCATCTATAGTCACCCCAGGAAACGGCAGCAGGCTGCTGGTGACTTGGGCCGTCAGGTCATGCATGGTTCACTTCATAAACAAAATCAACACAATATATGGCATATTAGAAACAGCAGTTTGTAAATGTACCTTCACCTTACAAATATTGCAATCGTGTTGCTAGAGTTCGAAGGTCAAAACATAATTACGCAACAACACACTAACCTAGATATGTTCATGTATAAGCCTAAATATAAATAAAAACACTCTGAGCCCTTTATACTCCCTAAATTCACTTCAGGCTTTATCTGCTCAACTGGGTTTTACAGCACAAAGGAGTCTTTCTTCCGAACCACAGTTGCACCCCCAGTTGTCAGCAAATGTGTTAACAACTGGTGCCACTGGATCTGTTCTCAGATCAACAAAAACAAAATGATGACACACTGCTGCTCTACATCTGACAAAAAACAGTGTTATTGTGAAACATGTTGTAATGTTGTTGTTTTAATAGCTTATGTGTGATGTTTTTAACACTGATATTTGTATTATCATTTTTAGCCAAGATGTATATCTATTTGTATTCTTATGTTATAACCATTTTTCACTCAACTGTGTGTGTATACTATCCCTCTGCCTTGTTATTGATCTAGTCATCCACCAAGATAATATTATACCCAGCAGTTTGGTATGCAGTGGTGTTTTCAAAGCCTTCTTTACCTGAATTTGCCCTTAAGTTTCAGTGTCCAAAATTGGACACAATACTGCCCTCTGTGACCAGAATTCAAAACACATTTGATTCAACGGAACTCCCGCGCAACATGCCTGTCACTACGCAGCCACATGCCATGAAGTGATAAAACATGTAGACCTAATGTAAGAATTAACTTTAAACAAGCACAATGTAAGAACTTAAAAGTGTCACTACACTATTACAGACGATAGAGTGTTCACAACCAAATATAAGCAAATACAACATCTCACTTGTGTCACTTATTGCGTTTGACAATCCATCAAACGTGTTACTCTCGCAATGTGTTACAACCCAGATCAATGTATTCATCCAACCGGCAAACGTATCAAACAATATATGGACGATAAAGATGTTTGAACGTCAGTTAACTATCTAATGTTAGCTCTGTCGTTAGCATCTGCAAAATACAGATTAGCTTGGTCTACTGCAGTTAGCCTTAAGCTAGACTTAATGTAAACAAACCCATTATCCCATTCTTTGTACAATAAAATACACATTGATGTTAAACACAAAATACATACACTATATATATATATATGTGTGTGGATGTAATGTAGGGCTGAAGAATGTAATGACAATATGTATACAGCACATTAGCAGGCTACCGTTAGCTTGCAAGGTCACGCAGGATCACAGTTTATCTAAATTCACCGTCTCAAGTTAGTCTTACTGACGAGCTATGGGCACATTGCATCTGCTGATGAGTTATTGGACATGTGCTCCAACAAATCATCTTTACTAACGCCGATAAACATTTAACTCTAGGGTAGTTTAGTCAAGGCGGCTAGCCAGTCCAGCTGGAGGTCCGTTGCTGCTTTCGCTAACGCGATCCGTTCGCGTTAATGATAGCAAAGATTCCGTGACCTATTTTAGGGCTGACATCCAGAAACTACGTTATTATTTCACTGGAACCATTACATACCGTAACTTCCTTGTAGCAGACTTTAATTGTCTTTCCCTGAACCAGTAAAGTAAGGTAGGTAACGTTACACTTACAGGTAATGTAGTGGTCTTCCTTTAGCTGTAGCATTGCAAACGTAATAGCAATACAAAACTAGATCAACGTAAGTGTGTAGCCAATGGCAACATCGCGTTAGAGCCAGACTTCTTCAGTCACAAGTTGAGCTCCAACTGCAATTCTTGTTTTGGGGAATTTCAGCAGCATAACGACTTTATGGAGCTAGTACTGCTAGCTAAAACGTGATGCAATGTGCCGCTAGCTGCTACCCACGTTTAGGTTACCTGTCTGGTGTTATTGACGGCTTTTTTTAGAGCCACGGATGTTCAGATTTCCTTGAAGAATCTCCTGATTCCCTTTCTCCCCTATCATACTCCGCTCCTTTTCAAAGTACAACACATACGTACAGCCCTTTGGGGCTTTCTATAGACTGCCAAGCACGAGATGCTCCCTCTGACTTCAGGTTTCCACTCAAAGCGCCATTTCCACGATTGGAAACTGCTCCCTGCACTTCTTCTTCGCCGGCATTGAATCTGGCACAGTGAACACTACTGCTGCCCTCTTCCGGTTGGGCGTGCTATCTCCCTTCTCTGGTTTTAATCTTCTTAAACATCCATGGTTTTAATGGCAAGGATACCTAAAATGTCGCATTACCAGAAACTCCTGGATTATAACTAACATAATAATTTACTAAAACATAATAACCCCTTTACCCATTTCCCAATCTGATGAGAAGCATGTTCCTGCAATACCGGAGGCTGCAGTTTCAGGACCGCATTCCTATACCCTAGCTAAATTGTCCAATGTAAGTGCTATGAGGTATGATGCCTTATTTCTTTGAACAATAGTGAATAAATAAAAGCTTTTCTCCACTTAACCGTTAGATGCACGAGTGACTGGAACCTACACTCTTCCATAAGTGGGTCCAAAAGGACCCGCATTAGAATAATAATGTGTTTTTATGCAATTTTTGTCATTTTGGTTAAGAAAAATCTCTTGTATAATATTTAGTATTATATTTTGGTTCACACTAAAAATATTTTATATGTAATTTTTCACTATTTATAATTTTAGAAATTTCTTTTACATTTTGAAAAAAAACGTTTTCCCATAGGATTCCATAGAAAATGCATGCGGGTCAGTTTCGACCCACTTATGGAAGCTTGGGGTACTAATACAAAAACTACAATTTCTTAAAATGTAAATTAAAAATGTGAATGGCATGATATCCAAAACATGTTTTTTGAGGAATAGCTGGAATATGAAATGATAAAAAAAATTTAATTACAAAGATACTTCAAGAAAACCACCTCACCGGGTCCAAAAAGACCCACTTATGGAAGCTTGGGGTAGTAATACAAAAACTACAATTTCTTAAAATGTAAATTTAAAATTAGAATGGCATGATATCCAAAACATGTTTTTTGAGGAATAGCTGGAATATGAAATGATAAAAAAATGTAATTACAAAGATACTTCAAGAAAACCACCTCACCGGGTCCAAAAAGACCCACTTATGCATCTAAGGGTTAACAACACTTGGATTCGGATTGGAGTGAATATTTCTCTAAGAAAGCTTCTAAAACCGAGTTTATTTTATATGACTACTTTTAAATCCAGGCTGAAGACTTTTCTTTTCGCCGCTGCTTTTAATTGAACTATTCATATCTTAAACTGCACTGTAACTTTTATCCATGTATTTTTTCTTTTAATGTTTATTTTATTATCTTTGCTTTTTAATGACTGTTTTTAAATGCCATTTTCTTAATGTCTTTCATTTTTGTAAAGTACCTTGTGTTGAAAGGTGCTATATAAATACACTTGCCTTGCTTTGCCTTGCCTTATATGCTCACTATATGCTACTTATTTATTCGAATATTCTCATGTCACTGTGTGCCTCTCGTGCGTTCATCCGATTCACTTTAGTTTAAGTGGCTGATTACGTTTATGTTATTTAGTAGTACAAATATAATTGTATTGCAAAACTGACTAGCAATAGTGGTGATGACAAAATAATAACTATATGATTACATTTACGAGTAAGACTCAAATATATGAACTAATTAGAAAGATGTTCTAAAAGGTGAGTTTTTAAAAGCTTCTTGAAAATACAAAGGCTGTCGCTGAATGGACAGCACAGGTAGTTCATCCCACCAACGAGGACCACGAATGAAAAAAGTTTGCCCATAGCACAGGGAAATATAATTATACAAACTAATCAGATAAATCCATTCCTTGTCTCGGCTATAGTGCTATACATTGCTGTTTTTAACCCAAAGTATTATTATGTGCTTTAATCTGTGACACGTGTGTGATTGATTTTATTATTGCCAAACGACCCCAGTTCTAGTGTAGGCTAATCTCATATTATTGTTGTCATCACCACTATTGTTGTTCTATAAATTGAAGTTTGTATTAATATTCTAGTGTTAATTATGGTTGTTTTAGTGGCTTAAGTTTTTGTATGTCGCTTTGGATAAAAGCGTCTGCTAAATACCATAACCATACCATCTACTTCCACACTGAAATACTTTATATATCCATTGTGTGTATGTATATATTCAATACAATGTATGTTATTATGTGTTTGCTCAACAATAACACAGAACATATTTTCATCATATTTCTTTAATTTCTGTAAAACACAAGTATTTTCATGCATTCATAGATCGTTAATAACAAGCATTACAATGTCTAAAACAGACTCGCTGTGTAGTAGACTCAATACTCAATGGTTGTACTTTTGCGGCCATCCAATTCCCTAGGTGGCGATGTTGCAAAAAAAAAAACTAGGGTCCTAGTATTGCGGTCCTGAAACTGCAGCCTCCAGTATTGCAGGACACATACTATTGGATCTGATACTAATTTGGTTTTTCCCAGTTGTTTGAGGGAGGCCGAGCGTTTCTTTCAACTGCTGCTGCACACCCACCCCAGAAACCCATGGAGGTATTAAAATAACGCAGAACCCCCACAACAGGCCTGACGTCCCATTGGAAGTGGAAATGTGCCACTATTGAATAGATCATAAATAAACAAACATAATGACATTTTTTTCAAACGGCTTAAAGTTGACTAAAGTGTTTCAGCAGAAAAAATATCAACTTCTCGAGGTGGAAGAAAAGATTGAAGCTTAAAAATACCAAATAATAAGTATAAATGAATAAAGATGGAGAAAAATACACAGATGTACTGATGTCACAATGGTTTTTAGCTTGAGATGTATTGTTCCTCTTAGCACAATGCTTCTTCTTGTGGTTGTTAGGACATCTGTTTCAGACTGCAGAATATGATGACCGCGGAAGATTTACACTTTAGCCTTTCACCACAATATTGTCAAAGATGCTGATAATGAACTAAAACAATTATATTTATAAATAAGGTTATCAGTATAATTAATCTTCTTCCTTGTTTGTTCTGGTCTCTTTTTTAGCAAAGGAATCAACCTAATTTGTGTAGGACTTTGGGGGAGGGAGACCAGTGCATTAGCATGATCTCAATATATATATATTTTCTAAAACAAGGTTATTGACAATAGATATTGCTACAACCTTCTAGACAAGAGCTACAATTGTTGGCCCCATGGTGGTTGAGCTGTTGTTGATGCATATTGTGATAACTTGTGATAAAAGATCCGTGTTTTATAAAGCACTTGTCAAGTCTTTAGTGTGTAATAGCCTTTACTGTTTGACAAATTAATAGCACATAAGCATTTAAAGGTGGGGTAGGTAAGTTTGAGAAACCGGCTCGAGATACACTTTTTGTTATATTCCATGGAATGCTCTTAACATCCCGATAGCAATGAATATCTTAAGTGCTTTGACAAAAAATCCATAAAAAAAATGTCATCTGTGGAAGCCGTAATACTGTAAAAAGCATGACCAATCATTTTAGCCGGCCCAGCTAAAATAGCTGGATGGCCTACCTGCCTGTCAGCCTTCCATCTGTGCACAAACTTATCTCGTGCCCTCATTGGCCATGTGCGCGTTCGTGTGTGTTGGAGGAGGGGCTCTGTAAGGAAGTGGCAGATTTTTTCCGGCTGTGTATTTTCAAATTCTTGCGCACTCGAGCTGGTTTCTCCAAAATTACCTACCTCACCTTTAAGGACGGATAAACAAATAATTTGTAAAACAAAAAAATTGCTTTGCAAAGGATTTAGCACTGTACACAGACAATAATTGCCCTCATTCCAAAAGTATACCAATCACATTCTCTATCATTTGTTATCATTATTTCTGCAGTGATAACCCACGATTTATAGTTATGCACCTTAAAAAAGAGGCAAAGGAGAATTGAATTAAATCATTTCAGATTTATCAGAGATAAAAAAAAGGCACAAAATCATTCATCGTTGCTTGTAAAAAAAATGTTTGAAAAAAAGAATACAATTATTTCACATCAGCCTTCTCACTGATGGGGTCATCCAATAAATCAGAAGTGCTCTGACACCTCATGTGACGCTCAATCATTTGGTCAAACTCCTGTATTTCTCTGAAATGAAAGAAAACAACATTCACTGATCATATTTAATATATGGTGTGACAATGTCTTTCTTTAAAGGTTTAACTCATTACGCTTCTACCTTTTACTTATGCATCGTCCTTTAAGGTACTTTTCTTCTGCCTTTTTTACTGGGACATTGTCCACCCCAGCAATGGCATAGATGATGGCCTTCACAGGAGAACAATAATCTTAATACACATGTACCACATACATACCACTGTGAACTGCAATATAAAAAAATATACCATATGACACAATATAGAAAAATACAAAATGAGCGCGAATGAAGCTTTAGCTCACCTCAGGAACAAGCACATCCAGGACAAAGGAGACAAGCTTCATGGATTCCATCCCATGTAGACAAGGGTCGATGGCCTCTGCTGTTGTGTAGAGTTCATTCAGGTACCTGTAGACCTGGTCCAACTGCTGGTCATCTTCCAAGAATACATTCACCACCCTACTCCGATCGCCACTCCGAAAGGAGCGAAGCCACCTGGACGGCTGCTGCCCACTGATCACAGACTAAGTAGAGCGATACAGGAGGGTGAGTTGATACTGCTCACTTACAAAGCCCTACAAAACATGGCCCCCCCCCCCGATCTAAGTGACCTTCAGGAGTGCACCGCGTCTCGCTACCTCCGCTCCTCCTCTGCTGGTCTGCTAACCGTCCCCACCCCACGCCTCGTCACCATGGGTGCTCAGGCTTTTAGCTGCACTGCTCCCAGACTCTGGAACTCCCTCCCCCCGCACATCCGACAGTCAGACACAATCACCATATTCAAATCCCAATTAAAAACCCACCTGTTCAAATCTGCCTACTCGCATAGTGCTCCCCATTATATGTTTCATTTGTGTCCACTTGATTGTCTCCTCCATGATTTCCTGTTTGTGTTTTTATCATGTTCTGTTGCCTATTAGCGTTTTCTTTTTTAACAAATTGTACGGTGTCCTTGGGTGTCATGAAAGGCGCCTAAAATAAAATGTATTATTATTATCATCATCATCAAGGACCAGTGCTCATTTAGCAAGTGTTGATCTTAATCCATTAATGTTTCAAAACATTCAAATATCATAGTGGATGTTTCTCTTGCACTCAACAGCAGAGACTCCATTGTTAAATAAAAAAAAACATGAGGTAATCTATTGCAAAAGTATCACTTTTAAAACATTGGTGGGACATAGTTTTAAAGCGTAACCAAGGACAACGTTTGCACATGCATTCTCTGTCAAATAAATTAAAGAAAAATTGAAGAAATTAAACTGAAACTAGAGAACGCAATTCCTGAAGAAATTGCATTGTGAATGCTGTATGCTGTCTATAATGTGTAAGAAAAAAGTGAAGAAGCAGGAATATTTGGATACCAGGGAATGGGTTCTATGAATTAATGTCATAGAACATTTTTGCACAAATTGCACTGACAGAGGAATGCATCTGCACATATTTCCTTCATATATAAATACTTTCACATAAAAAAGCCACAAGAAATTAGTAAGTGTTTGCAAAGAGCAAGAACTTAAACAGCAATGCAATAGGCTCCATTAATCATACCAGAAGGCGTCCTTCCACCATGCGCTGCTTTACGATGAAATGTACCAGCTTTTCGTTAGCACGGTCGTGGGTGGCATGACTTCGGTCTGGCAGCAACCTTTTTAAACTCGTGCTGACCTCCTCATGCTGGTCACTGAAGCCGTCATCCTGAAATGGTGCCTCAATCACATCCGCCGATTCACTGGGGATGGTAAGTCTCTCTGAGGCTGCTTTCGGGTACTTTCTCCTCAATGGATAGCCTGGAAAAGTGAAGAGCATGGTCAGGACCAAGAAAGGATGCAGGTGTATATACGTTTTCATATTCTGTCATTGTTTAACATTCTGCAGTGGCCTAATATTATGCGGTGGCACGAAACCTACTCATGTCGTGAGCAAAGTACTCGATGAAGGAGCCAGAAAATGAGCCACAAGCTGCAAAGTCAAAACATGATTAGTACCAATTCAGTAGTGTCCGAACAATGTTGTTTCTTTCTGCATAACAGTTAAATGGACTTACCAATCTTTATTCTGTAGTCTGTTATAAGATCCAAGGACCACTCAATTGCGGCATTATACTTTTCTTTGGCTTTACACTATAACAGAATACATTTGAGAGACATTTATGGTCTGCCACTGATTTACAGGACAACAGCATTTTAAAAATACTCAGTGTATATTTCATGGGCAAATCTTACCTCCAGCTCATGATCTTCTTCACAGCCAAAAGGCTTCAGGGTTTTCAGAGCCACAGCCAACCTTAAAAAAACAAAAACAAATTCAACTAAAATACCAACTACTGATGATTTGAAAGTGTGCCAACTCATGAGTTTTTTTATTTGTTAACATTACATCAGACTAAAAGAGGCTTTTTAAGACCTACGACATTACTTTAATTAACGTTAACTTATTTTAAAACACAGCTCATTTCAGGTGTTCTCACCAAGATCAGAATTGGAAGATAATATCTGGTCCTTACAACCTGTAATAACAATCCTATACATTGTAAAAGTACAGCAGATATCCAACAAAGCAGTGATAGAAAATTCCTTTAAATTTCCTACCCTTTCTTTTGGTGAATCAATGGGTCATCAATGAATATGATGCTCGCTTTTTTCTGCTTACGGTTCACACTTTTTACCTGCAAAGAAAAAATTGTACTGAATCAAATAAAAGTGAAACATTAAGGCTTTTTTAATTTGTAAACATTTGAGAACTGTTCTTTTTTTGAGTCACCAACATATCCATGCAAATTGACTTTCCCCAGTGAACACATCTACTTGAAATGAACATATAGAATTATAACCCATAACTATACCACAGTGACTAGTTTAACAGTGCTAAAGTGATTAGTCAACCAATTGCTTTTCAATTAAGCTGAAATGTACGACAGAAGATTTAAAAAATACTAAGCAAATGTTTAAGTCCTTGAGCAAAAATGGTAAAAAGCAAAGTGTAAAGTTCTCCAATGTAAAAAATAAAAAGCTAATTTCTGTATGGATGCAAAAACATGTGCTTATGACAAATCCATCATCAGTTCCACACAGGTTTCTGCACTCACCGATGCAGGCCAGAATGGGTAACTTCTATATTTGTACCACACAAACGCTCCTCCTGTAATGGCTGGAGGATCTACAAGACAAAGACAATTCACCTAAAGTTAACAGTATGTTCATACTATCCAGCCCACATCCAGTCCTTGTATGTAGAGGATATTTTCAGTCATCGCAGTCTCTCTTACTTTTCTCCTGCTGCATCAAAAAACTGGGTAGCTCCTCGTCCTCCTCACTAGGATTATCATCCTGGCAGAACAAAGATGGCACCTGTTCCTCATGGTGACTCAGCTCTATTGACAGATCTGAAGACAGTACAGAGTCTTCTTTTGGGGAGTGGGTGTGTAGTTGAAAGGAAAACAAAATAACAGAATTAGATCTGATTATTTAGTTTAGCCGAGTTATTTTATACCTGCTCTACAAAACTACAAGCAGCCGTAGCTACCCTACCAAACTCCTCACAGACCACAGCATGTTTTATCACGTTTTGGATTGTGAGGATGATGCATGAGATGCACAGAAAAAGTTATGTTAGCCAACATAAGTAATGATAACGATATCATTGCAAAATGTACCAAAAATATAAAATGTATAATAATATAAGGATTTCAGTCAAATACAATTTATTTTTATTTTTTTTAAAAAAGGTGCATTTTTGGCATTTATAGGAAGAAATCAAGCTTAAATGGAACTAAACATAAATGATTAAAGAGGTGGATTATTAATACAATATTATAAGATGTATATTACTAACATAGTATCAATATGTATTTCTTTTTTTAAATATCACAGTTATCATCAATAATGGTATATTGCTGGACAATACCTTGCTCTGCAGCATCAGGCGTGGAGTGCCCCGATGACTCAGATGTGGTTTTCTTCTTTAAATTCCCCATCTGCACATTCCGCGTCCTGCCTCGCTTGCGCTTGGCTGGAGTTCTTCTGGTTTGGCTGCGAGTCTGTATTTGCTCTCTCACCACCCTATTTCTAAGTCTTCTTATCGGGGAAGCGGGAGCAAGTTCTTTTACAGATGTTGATTGGCAGCATGATGAATCTACCTCTGATGTCTACAACAGAAAAAAATATATCAAAAATAAGTTTAAGATTATTACTGAAATTAACTGTGGATCCTGAATAATGTGTTGGCTCAAAATGCAGAAACAATATCAGCAAAAGAGAAATGATGAAACACCTCCAACTCATTGGTGAATTTGCTGCTTTCTGGCTCCACTTCTTTTGTTCTGGAGATGTTGGACAGGAAGTCTTTGGAGGAGTTGCGGACTGGCGTGGAGGTCAGCGGGGCGTCTTGTGTCGGTCCCATTTGAATATTACCTGTAAGTTTACCTTTAATTACTGTATGAACTGGTGTAGTCCTTCCCTTGAGTTCATTGGATCAGATGTGAAATGTCAAAGTATGACATTTAGCGGGCCGATGTCATGGGGCTGACAGCTGAGAGAGAGAAAGGGGGAAGAGTGAGAAATGTGTTGTTAAACCAACCTAATGTGGAGGATGTACTTCCGCTTAACACTAAGGCCATGTTAGGACAATCTTTGCAATCATATCATGCATTTGCGTATGTTAACTAGTGATGGTGAGATGAAGCTTCATGAAGCTTTGAAGCTCTCCAGCCAATTGGTTCGCAAACGGGTTCATTACTCGAGGCTTAATTTGCACACAAATTAAGACTTTGGTCAAAGAGTGTAAAACAGGCAGATATAGAAGATAGAATCGGAGGGATGGAACCCTCCTTAATAGTCAGTCACACATGCAGAGCACTCAGCACACCTCTGCATTTAACCCATCCTAGTACTAGGAGCAGTGGGCAGCTATTGTACAGCGCCCGGGGGGCAATGGGAGTGGGGGGGGGAAGGGCGATGTCTGGTGCCTTGCTCAAGTAGCAGTCCACACTCCATATTTAGGTCTGGTCGGGGACTTGAACCGGCGACCCTATGGCTCCCAGTCCAAGCCCCTACTGACAGCGAACGGATGGTCAAAGTAAGGTACAAATAAACAGAATCACACGAAGCCTGGTTAGTGTTGCCTGACTTTATAAAGTGTGTTTTTTTTATAAGTGTGTGGTTGCGTTCTAGTCACTTTGCTCAGCGCTACTGCTTGTTACAACTTTTATTTGCCGTACTCGCCATAAACTGTTAGCTCAGGTTAATCTCGCCCCCCTCCGATGTAAGCGTGACGTAGGCCTATGTGGTTCTTGCTTCTTGACCGACAATTTTTTGGTGCTTGGTAAGCACCGGTTTTTGGTGCTTAGAGCCGGCTCCGCTGCGGTGTGAACAGGAAAAAACGGTGCTTATCGTAAACTTAATGTTATAGCCTAAGAAATACTAAACAACAAGTTGACATTTATTAACTACATTATTATATTTCGCTGACGCTTTTAAGAATGAAAAAGTAATATGGAGGATTGACCGGTCGCGAACCGGTAACCATCCAGATGAGAATCATCTATCAACCAGCTGAGCCACAGCCATCTCCTCTCTGAAATTTGAAATACTTAGTCTGCTTTCTGTTTGTAGATTGTTTGAATCGGAATGTATAATCTAGTGCAAAAGTTTTATTTAAAACTAGGAGAAGTAAGCAGGTTAGGAAACCAAACTAAGGCCCAGGCTCCACGGGAATGCATACGGCAAAACGCAAAGACCAGTTAGCCTAAATATCATACGTGAAATACTGTAAGTTATTTAGAGACTATGGATGACGAGGATAAATGTAATAAAGGGATCTACAAACATTACATTGGTGACCTACAGTGAGATGGTAACAGGCATGCGCTTAGTGCCCGCTTTCCAGCCAGTTTCTGTGGGGTGACGCATTCTGAAGTGAGGCAGAGTTCATCTGTGCCTCACCTTACCCCACAGTAAATGGCTTGAGCGCGCTCACAAAATAAGTGGCAGCGCTAAATTAGTGCCCGGGCTCCAGCAAGTTACTGTGGGCTTACGTGAGGCAGAGCTCGTCCCTGCCTCACTTCTCATCGCTCCCGTAGCGGAGCTCGGCAAATTTGCTGATTTTGACTATAAAAAGCGATTGGAATCATACACAAATCACATTTACACAAGATCAGTGGAAACATTTTATTATTATTATTTAGTTTTTCTTTAATTGTTTTTCCATTACATTGGAGTATGACAGGTGAGGCTCTGCCTCCCCTGCCTCCCCTGACTGCACGTCGCTGCTATACACACACCCACAGCACGATACAGTACAAACATCAACAAGTGACACAAACTAACTAACAAGTGATACAAACAAACAATCTTCAGAGGGGGTCTGAGTCCTCTTAATCCGACTGTGGCACCGGGCCCGGGTACAGGAGGGGCAGAGTGTTATCAAACTAGTGTCAGTGTTTCAACCGATCTGAAGCACTACCTGAAGCAGTCACGTGGTATAAACGGGCAGCGAGGCTTCGTTTGTCATCGACGGCGTCACTGGCCTAAACGAAACAAGCCTCGATACTTGCTTCACCAAAAACGTAATTGATTTCTCGAACCACGCTCCGAAGTCTCGGCACAGCATGTAACAGCACTAACGTTAGCTAAATTCGCGAAAATACATCAAAGACTGTCGCCACGGAAACGGGATCCGACATTTGATTTGCAAATAAGCTAACGCGGCTAAAAGCTTCCTCAGTAACGTTGTTGTGTAGTCAGAAAGTCGTGTAGAGTCCACTGTTGAAAGCAAACAAGCTCAACCACAATCCACCTTGTTTGTGTGGCTAGCTAGTTGGTAAATTGCTAAATTAGTAAACAAACTCACCCCCAACATTCCCCTGCAATGAAAGCTGAAAATGGTTTTCTTGCTGACGCAACACATTCATAGTGCACCCCATAGATAAACAGTATACATTGTGCACGGTTTTCAGTCGATGTGTTGCTAAGCGTTTACAGGAAGATATCTAAAGGCACAACAAAACATGTATTCCAATGGTTGCCATACATGTCTGCAAACTGTAATTTGAACCCATGTTTGATACGTTATCACGTTGATAAACATAACCTCAGGTTAAAGCAAATCGTATAGTTAATAGTATACAAGTGACCACTCACCTTAAAAAGACAAGATCAGCCTTTTGTTTGGATAGTTCCCAATAAGCCTCAGTAAGACATAAAGAATACAGACATTCTCGTCGTGCCTGCACACCTGCAATGCTTCACAGGCAGTGCATAAACACTTAAACACTGCGATAAAGAAGCAACATTTAATATACGATGGTCAAACCGAAGTGTTGCACTCCCAGTTGTGAACAAACTTAACTACTAGTATTGGTTAATCATGTATAATACCGAAATACCGCCACCTAAAGTCCCGGAGTGCGCAGCGCAAACTTAAATATCCTGAATGATAAATTAATATTTTGGGCAAGACATACAGTGACGTTTACGTACTGCGCCAAGGCTTCGGAGGCTCGGAGCGTGGTTCGAGTAACCCAGGAAGTTTTTGGTGAAAGGTAGTGATGGCGAGATGAAGCCTTATGAAGCTTTGAAGCTTTCCAGGTTCGCAAAAGGGTTACTCTCATGAGGCTTCATTTGAGCACAAACCCCCCCTGTTGGTCAAAGTGTGTCAAACAGGCAGATTTGACTGTGACGAAGGTAACTTCGTCACTGTGGACTGACGGCTTCGGGCCTTGTAATATTGCACATGTGGTTTAGTTTGAAAGTGTTCCCCCTCCCGTTTTGTCTGTGGCTGGTGAATGTGTTCACCTGGTGCCCTGTGTTGTCTCCTCCCCCCCCCACCTGTGTCTTATTGGCCTGATTAGTGTGTGTGTATTTAGGCTCTGTTTTCCTTGTCAGTGGAGAGGTAGTGTGTGTGAGATCCTTGTGGACTGTGTTCACGGGTAACAACAGTCATATTGAGGCTGTGAATCATGTGCCAATGATTTAATAAATGCCCACACTGGGTTATATTTGAACTCTCTGCCTCTGCCTCCTTGCTTGGATGGTTGGATGCTTGGATGCCGCTCAATGGTCAGCTTCACATTGACATCTCAACAGTGTGCTCTATCATCTCATACCGAGTTCCCAATGAGTAAAGCCTTAGAATAACTCTAAACATAAAATCATATTTTCCATTTCATGTTAACAATATTGTATTTATTCAGTTTAATGATTGTGATTGAAAAGCCTAAGGAGGTTGGTAAACATTGCAAAGAGGGATTTGTATTCTTTAATAATATTCGTAAACTTAACCATGTTGTAGCCTGAGAAAGGCTAACCATATCAAAGAATACATTTATTAACTACATTATCTAATTTAGCTGTAGCTTTTATAAACAAAAAGAAAGGCTTATTGTTATTGACCAGTCGTTGAACCAGGGACCCTGTGGTTGTGAGTCAACCAGTGGCGGACTGGGGACGTTCGGGATGAATCCCGATGGGTCACTCGGACGATGTGGGCCGGCCGTTTGTCATCGGTGACGTCACTGGCCCAAAACGATACAAGCCTCCTCGATACAAGCTTCACTAAAAACTTCCGGGATTACTCGACACACGCTCCGAAGCCTCGGCGCAATATGTAACATCACTAGTGAAAGGTGTATGATTGTATCATTTTAGGCCAGTCGATACCATGTGACTGCTTCAGGTAGTGATTCAGATCGGTTGAACCACTGACACTTCAACGTTTTACAACACTCATATATACCCCGGCCCTCATGTAGGCCTACCTACCCGGGCCCGGTGCAACGATTGGAAGAGGGCTCAGACAGACCCGGCCCCTCTGAAGATTGTTTGTTTGTTTGTATCACTTGTTGATGTGTGTAATGTCGTGCTGTGGGTGTGTGTGTAGAGTATACGGAGCTGAGGCGACGCGCAGTGGATTGGATAGACACAACACATCACTTGCTTGCTTCTCCTGGTTTTAAATACAAGTTTTGAGAGCATTGGGAACTCAGTATAAGAAAGAGCACACTGTTGAGATGTCATCTGCCTGTTTTACACTATTTGACCAACAGGAGGGTTTGTTTTCAAATGAAGCCCAGCAAAATGCCTGTACTTTTGGTGCTTGTATGCTGGTATAACTAGATCATCCTCAAGTAGATGTACGTACCATGCCGTTATGCTGTGACCACCACGACACACATACTGTAGTGTATGTACATTTGTGATTGAAGCTGTGGACTGGCGTGGAGGTCAGGCCATTTGAATATGACCTGTTAGGTTGTAAATAAACTTTGATTGATTGATAAGTAGTGTGGAGTCTATTTTTATATAACATTAGAAAGACTGATTCTTATTATTACATTATAAGCTTATTGTGCTCATTTTATGTGGCTGTGACTTTGGAATAAATAGACAAAATCACCAATCCCAAGGTTTGATGGATTGGATAGGAAACGAAGGCAAAAGTCACATAAGAAAGTTTTAGCCTGCAATACAGAGTAGCAAGGTCAGGTGCAGACACTGGAAGAATACAAAGAGTTATTCATAAACAGGACACATCCCCCCCAATATTCAGATACGCTCAAAATGTCCCCCCCCCCCCCCAATATATAGCCTAACTGATATAAAAAAAATTGCTATTCTATGACTTTTTTATTTTGGCTATTTGTATACTTGAAAATCTCTATTTTCTGTTATTGTGAACTTCACCAAAATGATATATTATTTTCATATGTAAATTGGTTCCGCCTTTGTTTGTTTATGCATACATTTATTTTGTAGCCGGGGGGTGTATTTCGCTGTCGCACGTCAGAGTCCAGCTTCAGTTAGCGTTGATGCTCCAAGCCAGTGGCGGCTCCAGAGTATTTTTGTTGGGTAATCTATGGTAGGGCTAACCCATACAGTGGTGGGGCTCAAATCAGTATTTGCAATGTAATTACATACACGCTATATCGCCCCCCTTGACAGTGAAACACCACGCGTGAGGTTTAGATTATTTCCCTGTCTCAATCCAAATTGAACTGTATGAAATAAAAAGGCACATTTGTCTTGTAGTGACCTGGAGCCAATCCTGCAATTTCCCCACAGGTGAAAGACTTGACATGCTGAAAACCCAACCCCTGCAGGGGGTCTGGGGGGATTCTCCCCCAGGAGATTTTTTGAAATACTAACATAAAATACACATTCTGGTACTCTCTTGAGAAGAAAAATAAATAAATCTATTACTACACATTTAAAAAAATGAATGCCATTTTTGTTTTTTGTTACTGAAAGCTGAACCTGCTGCTCCTCAGAGAGAGAAGAGGGAAGAGGCTGTGTGAATTACTTTAGTGGATAAGGGTGGATAGCCCCCATTGTTCTGTGTGTCAAAATGAAAGACAGCCCACACACCTATCAATCATCAAACCGTGGGGTCTTATTTCATTACGTGTTGATTTCTATCAACACGTAATGTTGTATCGATGTTGTATCTCAACAGCAAAATGTATTCTCCGTCGGGACTTCCTGCAACAACACCACGCCGTTATCGTGATTCTGATTGGCCAGAAGACATTATCAAAGATGTTTTATTGCTAAGACGATCACTACGTGACAAAAGTTTTCAAAACCGTTCTAGTCTTCGGTATTTCCAGAAAAGTGGCTACTGAAATCAATTTTACTATCTGCTGTCTGTGCAATTTACTCGGCGCGAGTTGGCGGACTTTACTTTAAAAAAAATAACTTGTAGTTCTGATGTTAAAACCGAACTTTTCAGGAATAGTAGCTAGGGGAGTGATTTGTAAAATATGCATAAAGAAAACATTTACAGTTCTGTTTCATACGGGTGTTGAGAGATGTATCCATAGATTTAGTCCCTAATTTTGCTCTCGAAGTGCACCAGATTAATGCATTTAACTTCAACATTTAAAAAAAAAATCTTCCCTAGAGGAGGTTAGGTCCACCAGCTGCCCACACCCCCCGTCAAATTGTCCCACCCACAAATGGATGCTTCCTACGCCCATGAGACACAGTTTCATGAATATTGTTGTTTTTTCGTCCCCACGGGCGGGGGCATGGGGTTTTAAAGTATCCCATGTGTTAGTGAATTTTTATATATTTTCCTTTAGAATAGCAGGAAATTAGTATTCAAATTTTGATTTAATTTTTGGTCCCCCCCAATGTTGACTCCATGGTTACGGCCTTGATAAAGGCAACATAGTTGCAGCTGCAAAGTGTAGAAAGAACAGTGACAGTTGATCTCTTGTCTCGAATCTAACCTGCTCCGGAGCGGTTATGTTGTCAGTATAAGTAACCATAGCGATATACCCCGGTAAGAAGTGAACCAGCGTCTTAGGACCGAAAACTCAGAGTTAACCCCAAATCCTGCTTCGTAGTACAGGCCTCTGGCCCCACATTTTCTGTGAGTAAACAACTCCAATGAAACAAGTAGGCCTACTTCAGACTGACTAAATATGAAGTTACATCCAGGCCAGCAGAGCACAGTTAGCAACAGTTGGCCTACATCATTAGAAACAACACAGTGGCAGTAGCGTCAGAGAAAAAGGGGGGTGTATTTCACTCACCCTATCTGTAGACACTGTAGAGGAAGGCCATTCTCCCGTCTTAGTTTAGTTGAATACTCGATTCCGATTGGTCAATTGGGACCTTTCAGAGGTTAATATGACAGTAGTACAGACCACTGTTAAGCACAATAATGACTGTTGCTAAGGAGGGTCGAGAGAGAAAGGAAAGAGGTTAAAAGACGGAGCGCTGGACGTCAGATAAATCAACAGAAGTAGACATTTGTATTTTTTAAATGGCACTACAATAACTTCCTCTATTCAGCTTCAGCATGGGTGCCTGTATGTCTCCATCAATATCCGTATGAAAGCAGCAGAGGGCACTGTGTAACCACTCATTAAATACTCTCTTTTAGTGGTTCTCAATGGACCTTAGGAATGTCAGAAGAATGAAATGCAGAAATATTACTGCTTTTATTGATTTGTCAGTTTCAACAGTCTTCAACCAGCCAGTTTGACAGTGGTGTTGACAGAAACAGACAGACATTGCAAGTCACCTTTCTAAAAAGGTCAAGAAAAAATAAAAGTTTTAAAGAGTCTGCACATGTTGAACGTTGACTGATGAATTGCCTTGTTAATTTATAAATGTTGCACATTTCTTCCCTAACTACCTCTTTTAAATCAGCACAGCTCTTCACTTTAAATGCAGTATTATTTGTCACATGTAAATATTGTTAATTTGTTATAATAATCTTTATATACCTTTTTTAAATAGATGTCATAACGGTCCTATTTTATTTTATTTTGTTTTGCTACGTATTCTTCTTTCTGTGTCTTTGTATGCACCATATCAAAGCAAATTCCTCGTGTGTGTAAACCTACTTGGTAATAAAACCGATTCTGATTCTGATTGTATATAGGCCTAGTCCCAGCCCTCTGTTACTTGTTTTTATTCTTCTCCATCTCCAAAAGGCGTATTTTTGCCTATTGTAATAAACAGGAAGTGCCCAGAACCATGCTTGAAACCCTGAGTCCAAGCTCAAATTAATCTTTTGCTTTTAACTTTTTTTAATAATTCAGTCGACTGTTACATTTTGTTTTCTGGAAAATGCATTAAGGTGTATTTGTTGTTTCATTTCTTTCTCCACACTGTGAGAAGCAAAACTCTGATATTTAGTCATTTATGTCTTCTCGGGTCACCAAACCAATACTAACCAGTAATTCATAAAACCTAATTCAGTGTCCTTATTTGTAGCTACAGAAAAATGAAAGGGTCCCAATTATATAGTTGAGTAAAACGCACAACCATGTCACCCTAACAACATCCAACAGTAATACAAACCTCCATCTAAGAATTATTCAGTTTTGTCACCTCTCACAGTCAGCATTCTACCTGCCAGTCAGCTGGACCTTTGGATTAGTATTGGCCTGTGGATGATGAGGGACGGTGGCCCCGCCCTCATCCAGATGTGCGCCCCTCTCCTGTCTCCTCAGTGCGCTGCTGGCTTCAGCAGAGTGCGGAGCCTTGGGAAGTCAACAGGAGGGTACGGAGAGTCACAACTATAAACCACCAGTAAACCATTCCTTTAGACTCTGGCAGCCAGATTTTACTCGATCTAATGAGATTGTGACATTACACGGAAATTGCACTGCGTGTCCACCTGGGCAGCCTGAGACGCAGAGCTGATGGAGAGAGGCAGGGCTGAGTGCGGAGCCCGTCCGGAGCGCTGTTGAGCAGCGAGTCCATTCAGCACATTCTGCTGACAGGGAGCGGTCTGCTTTCTCGCACGACCTGTGTGAATTATCATATTGTTTTCAAGAAGTGATTGTTTCTGCAAAGGGGAAACTAAAAGAAAACCAGGATTTCATTTTTTTTTCGGAATGGGGATGTAACCGGTTTCCACATGCACTTGGAAGTGGCGTGAGGTTGCCTCCAGATTGAGAAACGCAAACTGCAGGGGCTTGTGGTTAATTGAAATCGATCCGGTGGTCTTTTTTTTTAATGTGAAGCAGCAGCAGGGGTTCTTTCTCCTCTCACTTCCAACATGACTTCACTGTCGGGGACCAAGGAGAGGTCTGTGAGCAGCCGGAGCAGAAAATATGGGGTAGGTTATTCATTCCAGCAGCCGAGGGGTGGACACATCTCTACCTATGAGCCCAGTGCACATAACAACTTATCAGCCATTCAGTGTTGCATGCACTTCACCTCTCACTTCAAAATGAAACTGTAGTTTGCTCACATTATCAGTCTGAAATGCATATGAAACTCATAGGAAAGCTCATTATATTTGTGCTAATGCTGTTGATTGAGTGCTTTGTGAAGATCAAATTATGCACATCAGTGCTTATGGTGTCACAGCAGAGGAATGCTTTTTGTCAGAGATAAATCTCCGGCATCTCTTAATTATCACTAATTGAGCGCCAAGCAGCTAAATCAGGTATAACACTCACACCTGTGTCACTGCATACCTCCTACAGACTAATTAGTGCTAATTTATAACATAGGGTTGGCTCACACTGTATCCTCCTCCTCACTACGAGATGAGTGACTATCCCCTGACCAGCCTGCTCATTGCTTGCTTATTATAGCCCTTGTGGAGGATTAAAGTAGCTATAGTGCCCAATCTCTCCAACCACCACCACATCAATAGCTCTCTCTGACTGGATTTACCCAGCCGCAAAAGATCTAATTTTCAACTCCTTGCGGCTCATTTGATGTTCCCATGTGGTTGTCTGAATAGAGAAAAATAACACAGGTCTTCACACGGAATCTGACTTAATCCTATTTGCATGGTAACAGAAGCACCCATATGTTGCCTGCTGTGAACTGGGTTGTAGCACCATTACTCTAAATGTATAATATTGCTCAATGTTTGAAGATTTTTGGATTTTCTGATAATTTGGTTTAATTCCCCAATGTTAGTTTAGACCCTGTGTCTACCCATTGACTGCCAATTGCCTGTGTGTGTGTGGGTTATTGGCATGAGATAATGTAACTGAGCACCTGTCTGTGTTTAGCTTGTAAGCTTATTTCAAAAACAGGATATTCTCTATTTATCAATTGTTGGTTTCAATGATATTGAAGCTGTGTCAGCTACATTTTTTTTTCATTTAGATTAATTTGGCTTTGATTCCCTTTCATGAATTCAGCTATATGTTCATTTGTGAGCATAAACACAATCATTGGAGTTCAACCAAATAAATAGCATACCGAATAAAGCTAGGTGGATATAGTGAACACAAATTTAGCTTTTCAGGCAAAATATAAATAGCCTGACTTTTAAATCCCATGATTGAAGACACGTGTAGCCCCCTCCTCATTTGTTATTCTCATCCTTGTGTGTTCACTGGGATGAGTGCTGCACATATTTAAACCATATAGGTTGCTCATTGCAATTGGAAAACTTATGGGGAATGAATCCATTATTACTTAAAGGGTTCATATTATGGAAAACTGACTTTCACCATTCTTGTACACATACATTTTGGAGTGCCAACCAACCAAACTGTGAAATAAGAAAGCCCACCATTTGTTTGTGGGCTCCTTAGGTCAGGAAAAATGGGAATTTAAAAAGCCTTTCAGATTTTGCTCTACTTCCCTTGTTTCATAAAATATATCTCCCCATCCTCCACTTGGCTTATGAACTACCTTTGCAAAGGTGTACCACATTTGTTTGCCAGCCAATCAGAGCAGACTGGCTTTTGGGGAGGAGTGCTTAAAGAGACAGGTGCTGTAACAGAGCGTTTCAGACAAGGGGTGATTCATTATTTAAGTATATTTAAACAGACAGTATTATAAAAATTATTACATTACATTACATGTTACTTGTTATACGCTTTTATCCAAAGCGACTTACATACTCAATACTGTGGGCAATCCCCAAAGGAGCAATTTGGGGTGAAGCGACTTGCCCAGGGACACAACGACATGCTGGCTGCAGTGGGGTTTGAACCTAGTCCACTGCGCCACACGCCTCCCTATTATGTGTTTTTTGAACATTAAAGCATGTAACCCAATTAAGTAGAAACCCAAAATATAAGTATTAACATAAAAACAATCCCCCTTTAATATTATTGTTTACACCTGTGTTTTTCATGTTAAGAAATGTTAAAATGTCTGCCATGAAAACAGCCTACAATTTAGGTTTTCTTTTTTTTTTAAATGTTTTTTTCTACAGGTGCCCGACACGTCCCCGACCAAATCTGCCTCCTTTTTCCCGGACACATGGTACCGTAAGCCCTACGAGGAAAACACCCGCTCCGGGACACGGCCCGCTCCAGAGGGGGCCGGATCAATGCCAAGCTCCACAGGCACCCCGTCCCCAGGCTCAGGAATCTCCTCCCCAGGGTCCTTCTCTGGATCCCCAGGGACCATCTCTCCGGGGATAGGGACAGAATCGCCTGGTTCTCTGGGTGGCTCCCCAGGTTTTGGGACAGGATCACCGGCTTCAGGCAGTGGAAGTTCCCCCGGTAGTGAAAGAGGGATATGGTGTGAGAACTGCAACGCAAGGCTGACAGAGCTGAAAAGACAAGCTCTCAAACTGCTCATCCCTGGACCTTACTCCACCAAGGTACAAACTAGATTGTCTGCTCATCTTGTGGTGTGTATGGATGTGTGTGTGAGTCCAATTGCAGATGTGTTTGTATTTCCTTTTCTGTCACCCAGTGGTGGGTTTGCAGTGTATCAGTAGCACAACCTCCAAAAATTACTTGTTCCTTTATTTACTGTGGCATTTAGACAGTGGCACATATGAACTTGTTTGCTCATGAAAGACTGGGCCTCTAATCATTCCCTTGCTTACTGCGTTGCTGTGTAGTCATTTATTGTTCTCATAAATCACAAGGATGCTGTAATTTGTCCAACCCTCATTTGACCAGCTGTTGAAAAGAGAAGGGACTGAACAGCCTTTGGGATTTACGATAATTATTCTATCTGAAGCTGTAAATCAAATACTGACACAGTGTCAAAATCTAAATAAAAGATGACACCGACAACACCATTTAAATTGTATTTGTTGGAATTCTCCATTTACCTGATTGATCATATGACCAAATTCAAATAAATGTACTCTTTTCCTTAGTGCCTTTCTCCCTTTGGGGGAATTAGTATGATAGATTCCTGGAAGACATTGATCACTTAGAGAAAATAATAATCCATATAGATAGATAGATTGCAGCCTTTTTCTAATTTGATTTGACAGGTGATTTCTTTTTTTCTTTTGGTAATCTATAGAATCAATTTTAATTACATTAGTGTCAGTGATTCTTAACTGATATACCATAAGCTCCAGAGTGGTGTCAGTTTATAAATGATATGCTATCAATTCATATACTATACACATTTTGTATCATGTGCATATGTACATGTGTATACATTGTTTCTTGAGCTTCCCACATACTAAATAACCAGCCAACCCTGAACCGATTTCTATCTCATGAATTATGAATAATTATCTAAAGAACTTGTGAGACTGTAAAATAAGTCTGGCTTTTCACTACATTATGCAATTTTACTTGGGGCAGTACAAAATAATCATAGACAATTAAGAACATTTTAGTTTTTGCACTGGTTTGGCTGTTGAAAAAATAAGTAGTTATGCATATAAAAAGCACAAAGAAAAACATATTAAAAGTCCTAATGGCAGGCATTTTGACTTTGTATCATTTTTAATCAAGTTGCCTCTGGGTTCAATGCTCTCCTGCTGCAGTTGACTGGATTTATTGCAGGGAGGCCACACATCAGACTCAGAGTTAATTGGTAACAAATTAGCATGCATTATGCACCGGGGGGTTAATAAAGTGCATCTAGCAAATGGGAGTCAGATATAGGGCTACAGTGGGACACACAGACTTACTGTACAGCCAGTCAAAAAGAGCAGTGGAAACACTGAGTTCTCATTCGATCAAGAACATGACAGTTGGAAATCGGTAGGAATTGTGGGGTTAATGGAGACTGTTGGTGGGAAGACCACTAATCAAAAGGTTATTTGCGAGGTTGGGTTCAGTTCCAGCTGATTAAAGCGTCCCCTTTGTGGATACATTTATTAGTGTGCAAAAAATAAAGGCATGTAAGTTACAGGATTGTACATGGTGCACTGCATGTACTGTATGTGTGGGAAATGAAAGTCAAAATGATGCTAATAGAGTTGATTGTGTTTTTCACAGCTGAAGATTAAAGGTAGGGTAGGTAAGTTTGAGAAACCGGCTCGAGATACACTTTTTGTTATATTCCATGGAATGCTCTTAACATCCCGATAGCAATGAATATCTGAAGTGCTTTGACAAAAAATCCATAAAAAAATGTCATCTGTGGAAGCCGTAATACTGTAAAAAGTACGACCAATCATTTTAGCCGGCCCGGCTAAAATAACTGGATGGCCTACCTGCCTGTCAGCCTTCCATCTGTGCACAAACTTATCTCGTGCCCTCATTGGTCATGTGCACGTTCGTGTGTGTTGGAGGAGGGGCTCTATAAGGAAGTGGCAGATTTTCTCTGGTTGTGTATTTTCAAATTCTAGCGATCTCGAGCCGGTTTCTCAAACTTACCTACTCTACCTTTAAGTAATTGTATTTATAAAGACATTGTCACCTAATACACAAAACTATGGTAGCAGGCTTAAAAACAAGTGTGGGGTTATCACAAACCAAAATACTGTATCTGTCTTTGGCTCATTGATTTTGCAAAAACAATAGATTTGAGTGTCCTCCTCTCTGTGTAGCCTGCTTGACAGATTTAGAGTCAAAATAATTAACGAAAAAATGGTCTGAGGAAGCTGTAAACTGCATTGTATATGCTGCACACTGGATGTTGTCAAAGTAATTTCGATCAGAAGAGTGAATCCCCTCTCACGTGTGATCATTAATGTTATTTTGTAAATCTGATTAAGATTTCCTCCTTAAATCTTGCTCTTGACTTCTACAAATCAACTGATTCAGGATCCGTTATTGCATGGTTTCTTGGATGATATAATTACATTGCAACTATTGGGGGTGTTACTAAAAATAAGTAATATATCTTTCATGGTACTTGAAACATGGTAAAACACGTTGATTTAAAACTGTGAAGGTGAACCCCTAATTACGATGCACTGCATGTTACCCAACAGTATTTGGGAGTACAATTTTTGAGTTTTCTTCAGTGAGGTTTCTTATGCAGGCTTTTCCTACAAGAGTCAACTGACCTACGCAGGTGTTTTGTGTCGGGGGGGAAAGCTGAACTCATGTCCTTGGTAAAGCAATGTGACCTTTTAATCCTTCTCCTTCACCAAATGTGCCAGAACAGCACTTCAGCTGAGTGTGTATGTGTATGTGTGTGTATGTGTATGTGTGTGTGTGTGTGTCCCTTCCTGTTGCGATGTCAGCATGAGGCCCCATGTCATTCCCACAGGACACTGGGACATATGTGACCCCTCACAGTCTGAATAAAAACACACATGTACCATCCAATACACCCCCCCAATATGCCTCTGAACCATGTAGACCTGTCTCTGTGCCTGGATATGAATACATGATGGCCCATGCTTGACCCATGCAAACCACCATCACACACACACACACACACACACACACACACACACACACACACACACACACACACACACACACACACACACACACACACACACACACACACACACACACACACACACACACACACACACACACACACACACACACACACACACACAAAACCCTTTCTCACAGAGGGCTGTTAATAATATGCTAATGATGACCTTCACCGATCCTACTGTTGAATATTTAGTTGTTTGTGAACATGTCTGCAGTTCTGTGTGTGTGTGTGTTGTGCTTGTAGGGCATTAGGTATGTTTTAGTGGCAGTTTGTTAAAGCCTTCCGTGAATTCACTAACAAGCACAAAACAGTGTCTATGTCAGAATGTGTCACATTGCTTAAATGTCATGATAACTTGTTTGTTGGATGAGCAACTATTAGCTATTGCAAAGTGTTTTTTTGTGCAGTGCTTACTCTCTTTTGCATGTCATAGAGAAGTTATCTAATTCATTGAAGAGTAGTCTAAAACAGATAGCATCTGTGGTTTTGTTTTTATAATGGGCTTTAAATGTTGTCCTCAAATTAAACTGAAGTTCATTTATAATCATATTGTCCATCATGCCTTTATTACTGCTTTTACTCAGTCAGCTAGAGTGCACAAGAGTGCTCTGTTGAGGGGTTAGAAGAGCAGAGTAGGTTTTTCAGGTTTGGGCACACACACGCGCACGCAAAATGCACACACACTCAACCACATCTGGCTTCACAGCTGTACTCACTTAAGAACTCAGTCCTTGCTCTACTGGTGTGTATATCCTTGCATCTATCTGTGTATGTGTACCCATCCCTTATATCCACGCCCAAATCATAAATGACTGCAGGATTATCTATTTTTTGGTTGGTCCAGTTCTGTCGAAACTGGGTCACTGTGTGTGTGTGTGTGCGTGCGTGCGTGCGTGCGTGCGTGTGTTTGAGGGTCTGTTTCAGATCAGCTGAAAGGCAAAACCATGTATGTTTATAAAGGGAAACATATACTGTTCGACTTCAGACATAAAAATGAAACCAAAAAAGGACATGTTTGTGAATATATTCACTCCAGAGGACCTCTTGCTGGCAACTTGAGATTTATTGAGATTACTTTCATCTGTGCAGTATTTGAGGTTATATACATGTTATATGCACTCAAAATGTTTGTATTAGCAGACCCATTCATGTGTCTGTCTAGATGTTTCTGGACATTAAACAGCTGGCAGCAGTTTATACAGTACATAGATCTTAGACCTTAATGCACATTATTATTACCGAGATCTTTTCCTTCTTTTTGTTGTATGTGAAAAAATGGTTGGCCAACTTTAGTACTTTAGCCAAAGTTTTTTAATCATGAATTATTTCTCTCTATATTTCTCTAGCTGTTTACCCTTGCAACCAAAGCAGCCTCCTTGTGCAAGTCTCACTTTACAGTTTTATCTTGTTAACCATCATAAACATTCACAAATAGCCTTGTGACTGTGTCTTTAAAAGCCTCTTTCATCTTAGATGAAGTAAATGTCCCACTAAACAAGAAAAGCTCCATGCTCCGTATGGCAAAGCTGTGCAAAACAACAACATCTTTAAGTGAGATGCAGAATTAAAAAGTATTAACCCAAATGTTGTCTACCAAATCCTTTGAACAACCAACAAAAAACTTGAGATATTGGTAGTACAATTGACCATCAGTGAACTAGAGGCTTGAAAGTTTAAGATCTATCTGCTATTTAAGATGCCTTTAAACAAATGGGGTCAAACTGTTGAGGATAAAATAAATTACAGTAATCCCAGTCACTCGCTAATGTTCACCCCAAACCAGTAATTTGTCTGTAATTAGTCTACTTATCAGATCAAATGGTGGAGCATTACTGCTCTGCAGCCTGTCCTCAAAGGGACGTATTTCTGAACACAGGTAGCTAGCTATCCTGTAATAACCAAATCCCATAACACTACAGAAGCAGGCCTCCGGTAACTACGGCAGCTGGTGTTGCCACGGCAGCGACATGTGACAGATGTGAGCCGCATACATATCTCCAT